AGTTTCAAATTTTTTCTTATATTAATTATTATATATATATATATATATTGCAGATTTATTCATTATATTATTATTAAATAATAATGTGTGTATCCCACAAAAAATAATAATAATCGTGTGCCTATTTAATATTTATAAAATCGACTGACTTTAGTTTGAGAAGTTTGCCTCATATTTTTGAATTTTACATTAGTTATTTTTGGAAATTTTTATTAAGATAATAAGTATGTATTAAATTTGAAAATTGTTTTAGCTATTTTCGAAATAATTAATAGAGATTTTCTTAACTATTTTTTCGCAATAATAAATATTTCTTTAACTTGAAGATTTTCTTAAGTATTTTCGAAAAATTTTAGGGAGATTTTCTTGTTTTCATTATTAATTTTTAAACTATTTAAAAAGAAATATTAATACCAATGGTAGAACCTTGTAAATAAGTGAGCAAATCAAGGATTTTTTCATAAGTGTCTTTAAAAATGTTAATATAGATATTGGCCTATCCTAACTTAAAAATGGAATGATTAAAACAAACAAAATTTAAATAATATTTTATTAGTTACGTTTTGGCCTTTATATTCTTTAATTATCACAATGACTAAACCCATTTGCATTGCATCATCATACATGTTTTATTTGTTGCCAAGTATCAAAGCCATCTCACTTAATTGCCCTCGTACATTTGATCTCTCTGACCAAATTTGTGAATTTAAAATGTTAACTACTTTTGCACCCAGAAAAAAAAAAAATGTTAACTACTAACCCAAAGAGATACCTTGGCTTCCTGAATATACATATATTGATCACATTTGTTTATATAAAATATTGTTAAAACTTGATTAAAAATGTATATATGTACATGAAATAACACATTTTGCTGTATATCATCACTGCATCTGTTTTTCAATAATATATGTTTTGTAAAACAAAAAACAAACAATACAAAAATGTATATATTGTATGCAAATTTTGTATAACATTCTATCTATATTATCATAATAATAAGTATATAATAGAGTAGATCTCATCTTTCTGCAATAATTTCTAACACACACTATTGCAATGTTTGGATGCGGTTGTTAAAATGACATTTAACATTTAGTTATTGTTCTTGAAAGTTAGAAAGTTCTTTTAAGTGGCAAACATTTGCCCGCCTCGACGGGAATAAAACAATGCAAAAGAATCATAAAAAACAAAACTGCACTGTTACTTTTCCTAAAGAAACTTTATGCTTAATTTTGAAAATTATAATATGTTAAATGTTTGGTTTAGGTTATATAATATTTACTGATGTACATATCTAGTGACAGTATAGAGAAGAAGATAACACTAAAACGATAGGAACATGCATTAGGTAATTAGTAAACTCGTTCGTTCCTTGCAGTATTGAAATATACAGGGAAACATCACGTGAAGCGTTGGATTGTTTGTTATAATGTCTTCATCGTACGGCAAACGCGATGAATTGAAACAGAAGATATCACGTGAAGCCATTTCTCATTAATTGCGATCTTTAACTTTTATAATCATTAACAGCGTTAATTAGTTTCTCTTGTGTGAATTCTTCCCCCCCTGATCCTTCCCGAATTTAACACCGTCACCTCAATATTTCTAACCAAAAATAATAATACTATTTCTTGATAGACTACGGCGCAATAACTTACGATCTTAATTAATTATATAATTGTAGCTTCTTGGTAAAATTATTATACGGATTGGACTCTGGAGAAGAAAGCAATCATAACAGTATATATAAAATGGAAAAACGATAATATCTATGCATTTAGAATGAGAAGCAAAAGTTATTGTAATAGAATTTAGTGGTCTAATAATGAAAAGAAAAAGATTATACCAATAATGATGATATCGAATAAACCACCAGCACGATCGTCAATTCTAATAATCTACAAATTAACAACGCGTTTTACATTTTTTTTTGGAAAAATTCTTGAACCAGATATAGAATAGAAGCACGTACGCGAGCTATCTGTATGCGTTATTAATCTAAAATATGTTGTCACCGAGCGTTTATTATTAGATTGTATGAAAAGTTGAAAACACAAACACCTTAATTATTTATTATTTCCTTCATATAATTAAACTTAGTAGATAAAATAAAAGGTTAGAATCAATACGATACGATATGTTTGTTTTGTGTATTTGACATGAGAAAAAGAACAAAGAACCAATGCACATGTAACCATGTGGTAACGTATTCCGAAAACAAAATATAGCCAAGACACTACAGCGAAGTCGTCTTTTGTTATGTCGAGTTATATATCGTCGCCCCCACTTAACAACGACATCGTATAGGGTTAATCATTTATGATGCATGCTTTCATCATTTATAAACAAGCGAACAAATAATATGTTTTACGTTCTAAGTGGTGAAGAAAGATGGAATCCATCTGATGGATAAAAAGAGAGAGAGAGGGAAGGATCCTAAAATCCCTCTAGCATGACTCGAAGAGACTCTATAGCATTAGAAACCAAAATGCTTATATGACTTAACAATGTCAATATAAAACAAAATCAAAGAAAGCTCCAAAAGATGAACACTGACTCTTATGTCCCCCCCATTCTTACTTGTCAGTTGTCACCCATCTCATCTAATCATCTCCTAGGCAGCGTCACGAGCCGTCTAGTAAACTAGTATAAACCTAATCTTATCTTTGTTTATTATATTGTTTTCACCATAGTAATTAGTAAAGTTTACTTCATATAATATAAGTTGATATCATCATTAATTTTCATTTACGTCTGCGTCACTCTTTCTCCCTATCCACTATAACACAGATCCCAAAGAAATCAAAACATATAGTGAAAAAAAAAAAAAAAAAAGAATCGTCCCTTTGTTTCTACGCAAATTATTCTGTAAAATTTTCCTTCGTTTTCTCACATTTTCTTTCTCACCAAACAATCCCTAGCTAGCTTATATTTCTCTTTCTTTCTTTCTCTCTCTCACGCACATTCAAAGCTTCTTCTTCTTCTTCTTCTTGACTCTACCATTACCATTACATTCCCTGACAGACAAAAAAAAAAAAAGAAAAAGAAAACGATATGACTAACTTCTCCCGATCCAAATCCACAGGAACTATCGGGTTTAAACCCAGCCGACCCGGTCCAGATATATACGAGAACATCTACAACGATGACGACGAGTACGAAGAAGAAGAACATAGCACAACGAGCACAGACTACTACGACGCTTCGACGCCGTTGAGCTCACACGAGTCAAGATCCGGGAACGGATCCGGGTCGGGTCAGTTAACGATCGTAGACCTTCTTGCGGCGGTTCTGAGGAAGTCGCTGGTGATGTCGTGTACCATGGAGAGAGGGGACGATGACGTGGCGGCGTCTTCTATGGATATAGGTTGGCCGACGGAGGTCAAGCACGTGAGTCACGTGACTTTTGACCGGTTTAATGGTTTTCTCGGTCTTCCTTCTGAACTCGAACCGGAGGTTCCTCCTCGAGCTCCTAGCGCCAGGTCCGTTCTTTGTTTTATTTACTTTATTATTACCACGCCGGACGAATTAGTATTATTGTTTAAATTTTAATTGTGTGGTTATGAGTACAGTATTAGTTATTGCATGTTTTTTTTTTTTTGGGATTCAATAAATTAGCAAGAAAGGAGGAAATAAATAAATTATATTATCATAGCTGGAAATCTGTATGGCATGTTACTGTGTTGGATAGAATCATTAAGATGGTTTGCTGTTTGGATTTAAATGCATGATTACGACACTCGTTTCCTCACAAAACAAGATTCTCTCTTTTCGTTTTTCTATATAAAAAGATTAATAAATGGTCCGTATGTTCAAGCTGTAACCATTTTTATTTTTAACTCACAAACACTATGAAGCAATAAGTTATTATTAACCTTTTTTTAACAAAAACAGTACGAAACTATTTGGACACAAAATTTTGGTCTTTAAACTACTCATCACTCATGGAATAGTGATTGAATGACTCATCCCAGGAGTTGGGGATTAGTGTTTAAGCTTTCACTACCATTACACAACAAATATGACATCAAAATGTAATCAATTTGTAACATCGACTTCGTTTATCATCTGATACAGTATGTAAAGGACCAAAATAAGGGAAATAATGAATTCTATATAAAAAAATGAAATAGATTGGTTCTTTTTCATTGGTAATTTTTTTGATGGGGATTCCGTAGATGGATTTGTGAAGCAAAGACTGATTATTTATGATGATACTTGTGAGTTTTATAACTAGGTTGGTTCCTTTGCATAGGATATAATGATTGGTTCTTTCTGATGATTGGGTTTTCTCTAGATTAGTTTGTATAACAACAGCAAAAAAAGGTTATTATATGATCGAACTTATTGGTTGTAACCAGATTTGTCTGTTTAGGAGTTAAAGTATTACTTTTTTATACAGTGTAAGTGTATTTGGAGTATCGGCGAAGTCAATGCAATGCTCATACGACGACAGAGGGAACAGTGTCCCAACAATTCTTCTCAGGATGCAAAGACGTCTATACACCGAAGGAGGTCTTAAAGTAAGTCTCTAGCTACCCTCTTCTCTGTTTCGTGGAATTCAAAGAGTTTTGATATATAATGTGTGATTGTTTTTGTTACCTCAAGGCAGAAGGAATATTCCGAATAAATCCAGACAACGGCAAAGAGGAGCATGTCCGGAGGCAGCTAAACCGCGGTGTGGTACCACGTGGAATTGACGTTCATTGCTTGGCCGGTTTAATAAAGGTCTGTCAATAAAAATAAATAAGTTGTTGTTATAACATTTTAATGTCAGAAATATTTGATGTTTTTTTTTTTGGTTTTGGGATTATATCAGGCGTGGTTTAGGGAGCTACCAACAGGAGTGCTTGATGTGTTAACACCGGAGCAAGTAATGAGGTGTAATACAGAGGATGATTGTAGTCGGCTCGTGACTCTTCTTCCTCCCGTTGAATCTGCGCTTCTTGACTGGGCCATCGGTCTAATGGCTGACATCGTGGAGCATGAACAGTTCAACAAAATGAATGCTCGCAATGTAGCTATGGTCTTTGCCCCAAACATGACTCAAGTCAGTAAAATAAGATTATTATTTCTTTTCCCAAAAGCTTTGATACTTTATTTATAGCTTTTAATTCTCATGGAAACGTTCTTGATATTGTAGATGGCAGATCCTTTAACTGCATTGATTCACGCAGTGCAAGTGATGAACTTTCTCAAAACTTTGATCTTAATGAACCTCAAAGAGAGGGAAAACGCAGACGCCAAAGCAAGGTGGCTCGAGAAACAAACATCTGAACCTTTAGAAGAATGGGAATCGCAACACTCCGAGATATTAAGTCCTGAGAAACCCAACAATAGTAACCCTAAGTTCTTGAGAGTGGCTACTCTGTGTAGGTTAGAGGCTGACAATGAAGAAGAGTATTTGAACGTGAAGAAGAAAAACGATCATGAAGCTGTTTTAGATGCTTCGTCGGGTAATAAAAACACCAAACCTGTACAGAGGTTGAGTAAGCATCCATTGTTTCAGTTAAGCAAAGCCACGAAGAAACCTTTTGTAAGTAATCGAGATGAAGGAAGAAAAGGACGTGAAGCTTGGGGTTCACGTCTCTCTTCTTTGCCTTGGTAAAATTTTCTTACCTCGCTTTATTGTTTGCTGTTTTTTTTTTTTGAGAGTGTAAAAAATATTGTGAAATATGATTATAGATGTTAGTTGTTTGAAATAGGGATAAATTTTATATCCAACAATTCAGAAGTGGAAAAAAATGTAACCGAGTTTTTATTATCTTAGAGAAAACTCATAGTCTATTCACAAAACAGAGCCATTCTCTATTCCAACAACAGAGTCAAAACAGAGTCTTTCTCGTAATTAGACAAAGTTTAGAAAAATCATACTATCGTAAAAGGTTATATGAGCATAGTTGACCACTAGAATGGCTAGTATCAAAATGTTTTGGGTGATTAAGTTTCAATCATATATCGTGTAAACCTTGTCAATACATATCATGAGATTTCTCAAAATTCGTTGTACTAAAAGCAAATTAAATTCAACGTTTAATCACATTAATGATTCAAATAAAGCCCTTTTATTGATGTCAAAACAGAAAACTAGTATATATATAGTATCATTCAAGATTTTAACAGCAATTATTTTTTATAATAAAATCTCTATAAAAAAAAAAAAAAAAAAAATCTTAAAAGGAGAAAGAAATTAATGGCATTCTCGTCATGGTGAAAATGAATGAAGTAGATCAAATTCAAAGAGACATTTTTAAAAAACTGAAATAGTGAATGCAGTAAACTAGAAACGATATTTTTTATCCTCGTTCGTCCCTATCAAAAGAGTCATTCATCTACTTTTTTTTGTCGCTATCAGAAGTCGAATTACATTAAATCTGACAGCAACCTTCTTCTTCTTCTTTTAGCCATATAGGAAAATCTAAGCTAATTAGCAGCGAAGATTTGAATGCTAACTACAGATAATGCTTCTTTTTATATACCGTTCGTATCTTTCTTTCTCCTGACATTTGACTATTTGAGTGTTTAATCATCAATATTAACTAATATATATATGATACGGCCAGAGTTTATATTATATATGAAATATGTATTCATACCAACCTTCCCAAAACAAAAAAAAAAAAACTAGATACTATAATCAAATTGGCATAAGAAATCAGAGTGTTTGGCTAATGGTGAACGTCATGTTGTCCCAAATTAAAGGATCAAATAGTCGGGATCCCTTTATTGAGAGGGATTTAATTTAAAACAGTGTGGAAACATATACACTTAAGTGAATTTTACGTTAATTGTTAAATTTTTATTTTCTTGATTCACCCTAAAAAATAAAAAATAATGCATTTATAAGTTTACAAAAACTGAAAATGTTAAGTGTAGCCTCAAATACAGTACAAGGATACAATCAATGCACATCAGAACTAATGAAACATACGGAACAAATATAGCATAATAAATATTGAATGCATGCATGCTGACTTATTGCTAACTATATACACGTGGTTACATCAAGCTATATAAGTTTGGTATTTTGGACATGATGAATAATAGGGAAACATCCAGGTTTGGATCTTGGATCGTAAACACAGTAGCTGTTGGTGAAAATGCATGGCTTATCACAATCGTTTTGAGAATCCAGTGAACCTCAAAATTTGTTGAGGTCCAACTATCCAAATCCAATAAACATGAATCCCAAAATATCTGCATATATGTATATGAGAGTTCAATTCAATATGAAAAGTCGTATAGATAGCATTTATTCACCTAGCTAATTTTAATCAATTACAATGAGAGTTTCGTACGTATGTTGGATACAACAATATCCGACTGCGAAATAACTCTGATTTTATACGTATTTTTTTAGAAATAAATTAAATGTCCCAACTAACACACCCGAAAACGTACGAGTTATTGTCTCAATATTTGTTTGTCATTGGTCCACTTATTCCAACTTGGCCAGCCACTGACCACTTCAACTACAATTTAAAATGGGCTGACAAATATCCAACCAAACACTGACTCGTAATAAATTATATCTATCTTTAGAGTCTTTTCTCTTTTCTGCTTTCCTCTTTTGGATTCATTGATTAACTACATAAATCAATCTGAGGAAAATCACATGATTCTAATACTCGGTGGTGGTGAGTGTGTACAACCGGTGGTGTATCCATGCAAAACAATCATAACGCAAATAATTGGTATACATGTTTGGTAATAACTATGTTAACGTGATCAAAACTATTTTTATTTTCCTTAATTTGTATCAATAGACTAGTAAATTGAGATAACTTTTAACTCGTGATCAAAACTATTTTTATTTTCTTTAATTTGTTTAAAATGGTTGTGTTCATGTGTTCTTGTACGTATCACCGCAACTTTTTTTAAATAGACGCAACAAGCACAAAAAGACAAAAAGACGACCATTATTTTGAAAGTGCGTTCACCAATTTGTACAAGTTGGGGCAACGATTTTTTTTTAATAAACAGTAACCGACGCAGACCGCGTTTTCCGCGGCACAAACGCACTTAACGCCATCACTATATATTGTTTACGTTGCCTATAATTAAAACCCACCCAATGACCAAAGGTCTCTCATATGTTCATTGCAATGGCAGATTTCAAGCTTCTTTTGCTCGTTATAATCCTTCTATCTCTCTTTGAGCTTGATGTACTTCAATTTCACCATCACTTCTTCTCTTCTTATCCGGTAAAGATCGGTTTGCTCATCATCTCCATCTTCTTCTACGTCTACTCAACCACCCGGTCTAAACCGATTTACCTCGTAGATTTCTCATGTCACCAACCAACCGACTCTTGCAAAATCTCATCCGAAACGTTCTTCAACATGGCCAAAGGCGCTCAACTCTACACCGAGGAAACGATACACTTCATGACGAGGATACTAAACCGGTCCGGTTTAGGAGATGATACGTACGCCCCACGTTGCATGTTAACCTCTCCACCAACTCCATCAATGTTCGAGGCGAGACATGAAGCCGAATTAGTCATCTTCGGAGCTCTTAACTCACTATTCAAGAAAACCGGAGTTGAACCGAGAGAAGTCGGAATCTTTATTGTAAACTGCAGCTTGTTTAACCCTAACCCATCACTCTCGTCCATGATCGTAAACCGGTATAAGCTCAAAACCAACGTCAAAACATACAATCTCTCCGGCATGGGATGCAGCGCCGGCGCAATCGCAGTCGATCTCGCCACAAATCTGCTCAAAGCAAACCCTAATACCTATGCAGTCATTGTTAGCACGGAGAACATGACTTTAAGCATGTATAGAGGAAACGACCGGTCAATGTTAGTCCCTAACTGTCTGTTTCGGGTAGGTGGCGCTGCGATCATGCTCTCCAACCGGAGCCAAGACCGAGTCCGGTCAAAGTACGAGTTGACTCAACTCGTAAGGACTCACAAAGGCGCTAGTGATAAACATTACACTTGTGCTGACCAAAAAGAAGACGATAAAGGTATCGTTGGAGTCTCACTCTCTAAAGAACTAACCGTTGTTGCTGGTGACACGTTAAAGACGAATCTAACAGCACTTGGTCCGCTCGTCCTGCCTTTATATGAAAAACTACGGTTTGTTCTCTTTTTGGTAAAGAGTAAGCTTTTACGTATAAAAGTTAGTCCATACGTTCCGGATTTCAAACTATGTTTCGAGCATTTCTGTATTCACGCCGGAGGTAGAGCGTTACTTGACGCAGTTGAAAAAGGTCTCGGACTTGGTGAGTTTGACCTTGAGCCGTCTCGGATGACTTTGCACCGATTCGGAAACACTTCGAGCTCGTCGCTATGGTACGAACTTGCATACGTGGAGGCTAAGTGTCGCGTCAAGAGAGGAGATCGGATTTGGCAGTTGGCGTTTGGGTCTGGATTTAAATGCAACAGTATTGTGTGGAGAGCGTTGAGGACGATTCCGGCGAGCGAGTCATTAGTGGGAAACCCGTGGGGTGACTCGGTTCATAAGTATCCGGTTCATGTGACATAATAATACGTGTGACGAGGGTACCATATATTCAGCTTCCTATAAGATTGCAGCTCTCTTTTATATATTTAATGTTACCCTGAAATATAAGATTGCAGACGAATTATCGTCAAAAAGTTGCTACGTGTTTTAATATAGAAAGGACGACTTATAAATAAAATGGCAAAGTCATTTAAATGATTCTGATGCAACGGTATACTTGAAAAATCGGGATATATGATATATCTATGCAGAAGGGAACATTACATACATAAAACACTTTGGCAAAAAAAAAAAAAACAGAGACAATTTTTAAGCTAAGTCAAGTGAGGGTGACCCACTGACCAGCCTTACAACATGTTTGTCGAAGAGCAAGCGCTGTATGGTAAAATAGATCAATGGGCCTATTAAAGAAAGCCCAATAAGTCTCCGAATAGTAAAGTATGTGTGGACTGGATTCTCCACCACCTTAAGAAAAAGCAAAAGTGGGACGGAGATAATAACATAAATTCGCAAAAAAATTAAAAATATAAATCGAAGTTGCTATGTGGACCGTGAAACCGGCGGCGATGCCGGTTCAATTTCTCAGGGGACGAACGGGAGCAGCAACCATCGTCGGCTCTTCACAGCCTCCGCCGCGTAATTACGAAAGAAGTTACCGTCGATTCGTTAACTTCCCTACGAAATCGCAAACCTCCGAATCCGAAACCGTCGGCGGACTAGGCCAAAAAATCCTCCTCCGCACCGGCGATTCGGAACCTGATAAACCGATTCCGAAGGAGATAAGTGGATCAGACGTGCTCTGGGCGATTCAGAGAGCGACGGCTCAGAGGAAGAGAACGAACGCCGGAAAAAAGAAGATGATAAGAGGTGTGGAGCTATCATCCTCTGCGGGCGAGTCCACCGGAGATAACGGCGATGATTACAGTAACGTGAGGCCGTTAAGGATCAATAGTGATTGGGGACACAAATTAGTCGAATTCGAGAAGCTTCTCAAAGAGTTTCAAAACACTGAACTTTGACTTTTGACCTTTTTTATACAAAAATTATTAAGTGTATATTTTCCAATTTATATCATTGTGTTATTAACGATTTGATTATACGAGATGTTAAAATTATACGAAGTATCTCGCACGACCATTTAAAGAATTAATTATTGTCTTAGCCAACATGTGTACAAACTGTAGCCTCATAGTAAACTTTTCCTGGTCGACACAAATAGCCTTTGGTGGGAGCGCAATGAGCATCCTCCGAACATATACAGAGACCCTCCAGTGCGCATCCATCTTTTACTATCGTCGTGTTTCCTTTGACCCCTAGGATCTGATCCGTCCACTCGCTCGAGAATAAACCTTTTGGATCATAACTCTCCTTTACTTTCAAGAATGCGGGCGCGTTCTTGTACTTGGTAATCACTCCATCAAATGCTAAGTTTCTATTCTTACCCCAATGTGGCAATGCATTGTACTTGAACAATGCTATCTGCTCGATTTCTTCGATAAAATCTTCATAGAGTCGCGGTGTTAAAGGATCTTTAGCTCGGTAATATGTTATATCAAAGTCTATGGCTTCCGTTTCTTTTCCAAGATAAGCCGGAGAGGATGTGACATAACGCATTAGGACGCCATAGTAGAGTTCAAGCCCGCATAGAGATTTCGGTTCGATCTTGACAAGAGATTTAATGTCGTTGATAAAACTTTTAACTTGCGTGAGAGAAATACTGAAACATGTTTGGTGAAAAAATTCGCCTTTTATACGCGAGTCCCATGCACACGCCGTGGTCAACCCATCTTCAAGACCATCTAGACACGATCCTGACGACATCATGCGATTTTGGCTTCCAGTGACCGGATAGCCTAATAAAGTCATAAAAGGCTGAGATGAGGTGCATCATGGTAGCTTGTAAGATATATACAAATACGACTAATAACATTCTGTCCATTACTTTTTTGACCTGTCAATGTTAGTTTCATTTAAATTACTTAGGGTAAGACTTTTCAAAATCAAAGAAATAATGTACATAATTTTATATCTATCCTTTTCATTTGATTTTGATTTTGATTGTGGTAGCCCCATCGGCGCTGGCATGGTTTAATGTTTTCTACAAAAGAAAATGTCTTACGTTAATAATATTCGCCTCGTCGTTTTGTATATGTTTAATAGACAAGAGTACGGCGACTTGCTCTTTTACTAGGAATACTTACGCAACTATATGAATGGGAGCGAGGCACATGACGTTACGCATTTTGCTGATTTAAAATGTCATAAACTTTATATGTATCATCTTTTTTTTTTTCTGACATCATTTTGTATTATTTTAAAACTGATAAAAATCTACACACTTATGTTTATGAGTCTTACGGATCATATTTTATTTCAAAATAGCAAAAAATGCACAATTTAATTTTACCAATAAAATCATTGTTTTGTTTATTCAAAGTGTTTTTATATATAAGTTTCATCTTTTATATATAGGATAAAAAAAAAAAAAAACATGAATCACACAACTCACAAATAAATACGGTGGCTTTCTGATGTTTAAATCACACTTATAGCAGTGACGCGTGTACAAACCCTAGCCTCTTTGTAAACTTTTCCCGGCCGACACATATAGCCTTTGGCCGGAGCACAATGCGCATCCTTGGAGCATATACACAAACCCTCCAATGCACATCCATCTTTTACAATGGTTGCGTTTCCTTTGATTCCTAGGATCTGATCCGTCCACTCGCTCGAGAATAAACCTTTCGGATCATAAACCTCTTTTACTTTCAAGAATGCGGGAGCGTTATTGTACTTTCTAATCACTCCATCAAACGCCAAGTTTCTATTCTTTCCCCAATGTGGCAGTGCATTATATTTGAACAATGCAATTTGCTCGATTTCTTCGATAAAATCTTCGTAGAGTCGCGGTGTTAACGGGTCTTTAGACCGATAATATGTTATGTCGAAGTCTAGGGCTTCGATTTCTTTCCCTAGATAAGCGGGAGATGATGTGACATAACGCATTAGAATTCCATAGTGAAGCTCAAGGCCACACAAAGATTTTGATTCGATCTTTACTAATGATTTGATGTCTTTGATAAAACTTTTAACTTGGGTGAGAGGGACACTGAAAGTTGTTTGATGAAAAAATTCGCCTTTTATACGTGAGTCCCATGCACACGCCGTGATCAAGCCATCTTGAAGGCTGTCTAGACACGATCCTGACGACATCATACGGTTTTGGCTTCCAACGACCGGATAACCAGTGAATATAATGCCTAAATCCGGTAAATATTGAAACATAAAGCTAATGGTAAGCATTAATATTCTAGTGACATCAATGAAAACGTATAAGTAAAATGGAAAATAAATAATTACCATTGTTGGTCAAACCGTATGAGGTAGCAAACAGAGTAGATGAAATTATTGTGGCTCCAACACACTTCCCATTCGCATCCCTGAACCTCTCTTGTGTCTCCTCTTTTTTTTATCCGAGAAAATTAAATTAGTTACGTGTCTGAAACTTATATATATTTTGGAAGATTATTGGAATCATCACTTATAACCATTTCTTTTCGTAAGAAACTCGTATTTAAATATCGGTAGTTGCCTAAAAAAAAAAAAAAAAAAAAAATATCGGTAGTTGCCTAGTTGGATTTAAGAGTTCTAATTTATTAATTTTATACAATACTAATTCAAGAATAACTTTATCTTGTGACGACCAACTACCTCTAATGCAACAAATTATCTTGTGTTGTTCGTTAAGTAATGGTTCAACTTTTATGCATAAATTTCTTTTAAGCGACTTCAATGAAAGGAAACGTACTGCGTAAAAAAAAATGCGAACAAATTCAGATAATGAACAAGATTTAACCCTTTTTCCTTTTACAAGATTGTACCTTTACGTTCATATTTTAAATTTAATGCAACAAGCCCTTAGAAATAATGAGAGGCAAGAAGTACCTGATGATCTTATGATGGCTATTGCCGCAGATAGTTGTGAACGGAATGGCAAGAAATCGAACAAACCGTTGCCCGAGGTGTTGAACGGTACTCGGTCATCTCTTCGATACACCACTTTGCCTTGGCTTGGTAACCATATGAAATCCGCAAACTCGTGTTTCTCTCCAAAAGTCACGGCTTGATCTTCAAAATCCGAATCATTTCTCATAGTGTATGTTAGTGATCGCTTGAACATCGGTTGCAGTTTGAAAGTCACCTTAGAAAGAAAAAAAAGGTATAAATCTAAAACATTGTAACTTAAATGGCTTATAACTATAATATTCTCTTTTTTTGTAGTAAAATCAGAAATTAATTTTCTTTTTTTTTCCCAACCTGAGAGATAACGCCAAGGACGCCAAGAGAGACCTTAGCCGCCTTGAACTCGTTTGGAGTCGTAGTCTCGCTTAAAACCCTAATCTTTGCAAACCCATCGTTGACTGAACCTGGGCTAACCATCCTGATCTCGGTCACATAGTCATGGACCGCACTCCCTTTACCCCACAACGAGCTCCCATGAGCACCGGTTCCCATCATTCCACCTATAGTTAGTCCCCACCAATACGGTGCATACGGCAACGCTAATCCAATTTTAGCGGCTTCAGCGATTAACTGCCTAAGCGTCATGCCACTCTCAACCGTCAAGGTCATGGCCGTTGCATCTGCTTGCACCGTGTGGTTTAGGAACTTTGTGCTTATGAACAAACCATCGGTTCCGTCGGTACACACGAGCTTAGTAATGCTATGGGAATATCGAGTGGTTACACGCATTTTCCGTCCGGCTTGAGTGGCTGCAGCCACGACAGAGACAAGCTCGGCTTCGGTTTTCGGGTATGCCACGTTGGCGGCTAGACATGTGGACCGGTCAGGGAAGGCTCCGTATGAGTTGGTGACCGTACAATTCGTGTTTCCCGACACACATTTGACAGGATCTTCGGGAGGTGTTGAGACTGCCGTGTGCACAAGTGTAAATATATAATATAACCAGATAAGGCTGCGCCAAAATCTAGCGTTTTGGGAACCATACAAAGGAGGAGAAGTAAATGCCATGGGTTTCGATTTGAGTTTCGTTGAATATTTATTGTGAATATGTTTGGACTATATATATAGAGAATGGAGACTGTGTGGCCTAAAAGGCCCGTACGATTTACATAAAATATTTTATTTGATTAATTTTAGATAAGGTTGAGATGAGATGGCTCTTGCTCTCCTGTAACTCTGCAAGATAAAAAAAAAACTAACGAGTATTCACATTCGAATTTTTATGGACTGTCATGTTAGTTTTATTTATATATTACATTGTCTTAATTAAAGACTTGTTGGCCATATTCTTTACTATAGTCAATCGCAAATTCGCAATTCCATTGGCGCTGGCATCGTTCGCTATTTTTCTTTACTTTGAACGTTTTTAGTCAAATTATTCCTCGTCCTGTTATGAATTTTTTTAGAGAAAAGAAAGGTGACGTACATATTTTAATGGCTAATATTTTATCAACTATCTAGGAATGACAAATTCAACTAGTAATTATCATACACATTTCGTCTTCATTTAGTCTGTAACGTCTTGAATATATCAAACTATATAATACACCCATTAGCTGAGTTTTATTATAAAATACAACATTAGTTGTGGTTCCGTCCTATATTGAGTGACAAATATCTTTTTCATTTTCTTTGATTGAAGATAAGATTGCCAAGGTACGTAGCCATCCACAAGCCGTTGCCTTCACACACAAAGTCACGATTCAAAAAAATTAGCGGACGAGCATTAGTAGAAACCAAGACAGCGAATTATTAATGTCTGGCTAACGTTATTATTATTACAACAACGTTAATTAAATCACTCTATTTTAATTAGGAGGAGTTGGTCACATGGTAAAACCTCTCATCACTTCTTCACCTTCAAATTATTTTTATTTAAAAAAACTTTAATAATAACTCGTCAGGATAAATATCGACTACATGAAGATGATATGTATATGACATATATAAGAAGCAATAAGATTAGTGACTTAATGATTGAATCACACTTCTGTCACCAACACGTGTACAGACCCTAGCTTCTTTGTAGACTTTTCCTGGACGACACATATATCCTTTGGTCGGAGCACAATGAGAATCCTTCGAGCATACACACAATCCCTCCAAGGCACACCCATCTTTCACTATCGTCGCGTCTCCTTTGATTCCGAGGATTTGATCTGTCCACTCGCTCGAGAATAAACCAGTTGGATCGTACATTTCTTTAACTTTCAAGAACGCACTCGCGTTCTTGTACTTTTTAATCACTCCATCGAACGCCAAGTTTCTGTTTTTACCCCAATGTGGCAATGCATTATACTTGAACAACGCAATTTGCTCAATTTCTTCGATGAAATCTTCATAAAGTCGCGGAGTTAAGGGGTTTTTGGCTCGGTAATAGGTTAGGTCAAAATCTAAAGCTTCGGTTTCTTTCCCAAGTAAAGCTGGAGATGAAGTTACATAACGCATAAGAATACCATAGTAGAGCTCAAGTCCGCATAGAGATTTCGATTCGATCTTGACAAGAGATTTGATGTCATTGATGAAACTTTTGACTTGCGTGAGAGGCACACTGAAAGTTGTTTGGTGAAAGAATTCGCTTTTTATACGTGAGTCCCATGGACACGCCGTGATTAATCCATCTTGAAGACTGTCTAGGCATGATCCTGACGACATCATTCGGTTTTGACTTCCAATAACCGGATAACCCGTAAATATAATGCCTACAAGTAAAAGCCGATAAAGATGTTTAACATCAATGAAAATGTACAAATGTATAGATTAAATGAACAAAAGTTTGAATAAATTATACCATTATTGGTCAAACCGTATGCTGTAGCAAACAGTGTCGACGAAATTAATGTGGCTCCCGCACACTTCCCATTCGCATCTCTGAACCTCTCTTGCGTCTCCTCTTAATTAATAAATACAAGACAACAAAAGAAAAAACAAAAACAAAACTACGTATAAATATTTTAATAAATAGAGAGAGAATTATTGAATGATATTTTTCTATAGATTTTTATCACATGCAGACAATAATTAAAAAAAAAAACAAAGCTTTAGAAATAAGAAGGAACCTGAGGATCTAATGATGGCTAATGCCGCAGAGAGTTGCGAACGGAACGGCAAAAAATCAAATAAACCGTTGCCTGAAGTGTTGACCGGTACTCGGTCGTCCAATCGGTAAACCACTTTGCCTTGGCTTGGTAACCATATGAAATCCGCAAACTCATGTTCCTTCCCAAATGTCATGGCTTGATCTCCGAAATCTGAATCGTTTCGCATAACATATCTTAAAGATCTCTTGAACATCGGTTGCAATTTAAAAGTCACCTTTTTCGAACAATTGTTGTGAAAACACACACATATGTTAGAATTATGATATTTTTTTCGCAGTGAGCAACAAAAGATAATGACATTTTAAATTTCCAAACCTGAGAGATAACACCAAGAACGCCGAGAGAAACCTTGGCCGCGTTAAACTCGTTAGGAGTCGTAAGCTCATTTAAGACTCTAACCTTTGCAAACCCATCGTTGGCCGAACCAGGACTAACCATCCTGATCTCGGTCACATAATCATGGACCGCACTCCCTTTACCCCACAATGAGCTCCCATGAGCACCGGTTCCCATCATACCTCCCACGGTCAGACCCCACCAATACGGTGCATAAGGCAACGCTAATCCAACCTTAGCCGCTTCAGCAATTAGCTGCCTAAGTGTCACGCCGCTCTCAACCGTCAAGGTCATGGAATCTGCATCGGCTCTCACGGTATCGTTTAGAAACTTTGTGCTAATGAACAAACCGTCAGTTCCATCGACACACACGAGCTTAGTTATGCTATGAGAATACCGAGTGGTTACTCGCATTTTCTGCCCGGCTCGAGTAGCTGCAGCCACGACAGAGACAAGCTCGGCTTCGGATGTTGGGTACGCCACGTTGGCTGCTCGACACGTGGAACGGTCTGGGAAGACTCCGTATGAGTTGGTGACGGTACAGTTCGTGTTTCCGGACACACATTTGACAGGATCTTCGGGTGGTGTTGATATCGTAGTGAAAACTAGTGTAGATAATATGAAAAGAGTGCGCCAAAACGCAGGGTTTTGGGAGCAATGCGTAGGAGAAGAAGTAAATGCCATTATTGCTGTGGTCTCTTTACAAATGTAGATTGCATTTGGTGTGTTCTATTTGTAGATATGCGTTTTGAGAGGTTGTGTGGCGTAAAAGACCGGTCAAGTGTGATTTTTATTAATAATATCCGGTTGATAGGAAAAGAACTGAGATTTTGAGATGCTTGTAAGATAAGACTAATGATCATGTTTTGATCATCTTCTCTCATTATTATTATTTCATCCATTCATCATTTGAATGGATGTAATATATCATGTGGTTATTAAAAAACCAAAAATCTCAATTCCAAAACATACATATAACAATTTTTTTTTTTTTTTTACTTCATGCTCGTTAATAACCTTTTTTTTTTTTTGCAGTTATTTTACCATCACGATTCACTTTTCAGACATCGTAAAGTAACTAGACATAATTGAACCACACCTGTCCTGTAGAATTTACACACACACACAGAAATAAACAAAGATGGTATAATATATTTATAGAAAGGACTGCTTTGTGTTAAGATATACATCAGTTGATTAATTTTCCAAAGAATTGAGTCTGCCTAATTTTTTAGGTGCGTTCGTATTAATTAGAAATTGTGGAGGCAAAGGAAATTAAAAGTAAAAATGAATGAGTGGCGTACATACGTACATTGACTAATTAATGACAATCTGCGTCCACTTGATTTCAGTTGGAAAAGTCAACATTGTAATACTGTCCGACTACGTATAGTTTTTAAATGACGCCGTCAAACTAGTTATCCTCCTGATTAGGGTTTATATATCCTCCTAAGTATGATATAAGTTATAACACATTACTTACTCGATCTAATTTATCGGACATGGATATTTATTAGGCTCTTACTTTAAACCCACTTAAATATAGAAAAAAAAAACATTATTATTTAAACTTGTGTGTGTGTGAAAATAATATATACACAGTAGTTTTGACAATTTCACTATGTTATATAACTAACTACAATAATATTAGCAAAAAGATATTGGTTCAATTGTTTAGTAGTAGTTGGTTCAGTGTCACTAAATTTTTCTTGATTACTTCACCAAAATTTTATACAGTACTAGCTGGATTTTCGGGTCTACTATTATTCAAAGTATTAATTAAACAGCTTACGTAATTTGTATTATATGAAAGTCCAGATTCAGGATATACATATGAATGCCAAGGTACGCACGTCTTTCACAGAATTTAAACAAAATCCAATGAGAGTCAAATGTAGGGAATGTATAGAAACGTGTGGGTTTTGATTTTTTTGTTCTTTTTTTTTGAATAAAGGATGGATACTCTAATTATAAAAATTGAGAGGGTTGCGCGCGCCAAAATCTAGCCCAGGTCCAGTAGTCTTTTTGTTTTGGGGTAGTAAACCCATTTAACTAGAACTAGTCTCAAACCCAACAAATTTTTGTTTTCATATTATATTTATGTAATATAATTTGATGATCTTATCTTCCGTATGAAATATTTTATTCTGTTACGTTCTTTCACTAAAACTTCAGATAAACTTTCTACTAGACCATTGCCAGTCTATTCCATTCCTTTATGTTTTATTTTAAAATAAAACAACTCTTAAATAAAGTAGAGTTTATCACCAATTAATATATCATTCTACTTTTTACTCTAAAAATAAATAACGTCAACATAAAATTACAAAACAGAGAGCTAAAAATGTTGAATAATCCTATCTTTTACTACATTTTAGAGTGAGATATAAAATAAGGTCGGAGAAAGTTTTAGTTTACAAGTTACAACATACTTAGAGGGAAAAAAAAAATAAGGTCGAAGATGTCTTTAGTGCATGGCCTTATTAGTTATAGACTTATAGTATGAACAAAATGGAGTCAAAGGAAACACACTCTTAGATTAGAAGAAAAGCTAAAACATATATTTAATGATAAAGCATTAACTATATGTATATATATATATATAATACTGATTAGATCTTATAATCTTAGATGTAGAGTAATACATGAAAAGACATGAACCTACACATATACGTTTATACCAGTCGAACCCTTGATGTGTGATAATTCATAACCGGTTATGTTCATGAGTAGACAATTTAATGCTATGCTGTGTAACAAATACACATGATTCATGTTAATTAAATATCGAATATGCTCCCAAAAAGCGGAAGCTGAAAGCGTTAATAGCTTCTGACCCAATTCTAATCACATCAAAATGATGGGAAGTAAATTCAAAAAAGAGAAACCGAAAATTCCAATCACCTTTTATTGATTAATTTCTTTTCACATTTGAACCAAAAATATTAGACTGTGCTGGTTCGTTGAATATATATATATATTGTTTTCGATATGGATGTTAGACCTCGTTGGCACGAGCTTGCACTATCCCATCGCACCTACCCTCAATCATCTCCTTATTTTTCTTTTATAAGGAATCTTACATATATATCCCTCTCGTTGTTGAAGATCGTTAGTCCAAGTAATCATCTTTATATTGATCGATGTAAGAAATAAATTCGCATGCGGTTCATATTCACATTCATTATAAAAAAAAAGTTTATATATATGACAACTGCGCGATGTTCAAAAATTAAATGAGTCTGATTTGTTTTCTAATCATCCGATTGTTATTAAGATGTGTAGCTTGATTGCGAAAGCAACTCACTCCAAGGATTAGTAGAGGCTGATTGAGTTGGCTATCTCTTTCTAATAATTATTTTAAGTTTTTTTTTTCTCCATAATCCTTGTGGGTTTGTTAAAGATAAGATATATGTATGATTAATGGTGAGAAATTTAAATAAAGGTAAAAAGAGCAAATGGTTGAGCGCTATAGACATCAAAAGACAGTGAATTAAAGAAGTATCGACATGGAAAATATCTTAATATGCCTTGAGAGAATCATCGTCGACACTCGTCGAATGATGTAAGATAACGAGAGGGGAAAACGATGATAGAGTTTAGGTTAACTTTTGTCGGTAAATCCGTTTCTCTCGATCGGACTTTTCTCTCCTTTGCGAAGCTAATTTAGCTTTTGTGTAGTCGCGATCGGAAAAAGATGGTGTGTTATAATCATAATTTGTATTCTACCTAGTTTGTGTGTTTTCATATATACCTATAACCTATACATCAATGATGCATGTGATATGATTATAGATGAAACCTCAAATACATATTTTTCTTGAAATTACTTTCGATTTTTTGTTTTTTTACCGAGTCTACACCATGTCTTTATCACTTTATGTATAGACATAAACAGGAATTAATATTAGTATCCTGGAGACGTGCATGGTAATTTCCGAAAACATGAGATACAAATTTTATTAATGTATACAAATTAGGGAAAATGTGAAGGTTTCCACCCAACACAAAAGTGATGACGTGGAATATTATATATTGGCTTTTGAGTCGTACGTAGTTCGGTAGTTGAAATTTTTATGTCCTTGTAATATTTCGTTTACTATAGTTAGTAACCCTTCGCATTTTAATCAATGACATGTTTATGTGTATGTATTAATTATGGCGTTAAGGATGAATTGTCAATTTTGCGAGTAAGCATACATACTATAGGGATAATATAATTGATCTCTCGACCGATACGGCCATACCTCAAAATTATCACTAAAAAAGGGAAATTTCATTAATTAGCTAAGAAGGACAATCCCCATATTGTTTATCTCCAAATGTCGGGTTATAAGTTATATTATTCTGACGTGTTGAACAATTTATTATCACAGATAGATGAGTTGAATTTTTACACTAGATTTTTCGAAACTCTAAGTATATGAAGTTTTAAAGTCATTCTACTTAAATATTTTTTTTTTTTATGAATGCAAAATTTATTCAACCAAAAAAATAACTTGTTTACAATATATGAATACAATATATGAATTTTCTTAGATTTTATGATTATTAAATTGAATTTTCTTTTTAGTGACTATTATTGGTTCGAAAACTTAGCAATCTTAATCATGTGTTTGTATTGGGTGATCGTCAATACTTGACCATAGGAGAGTACGTATGCGAGAGAATAAGCAAAGTATCGATTTAGTTTTGATTCGTTTCTTACTCACTTCTCAGCACGTCTACAAAAGCACGAATGTTGTTTAATAAAACAATATTTTGTTATTGTAAACTTTAATTCGAGTTTTCTTAGAATTTTCAATACTTTTGATACACATGTTTAAACAGTACATTAATATATATAGTCAAAGAATAAATTAATATTAGGTTATCTTATCTTAAGTACTATATTTTCACACAAAAGTATAAATAAATAATCTTAGGTACTATATCATCACACGATAGTACGTTTGAGATTAGTAGATTATGATTGATTTATATATGATTCTTTTATTAAAAAAAAATGTTCTATATATATATAGTATATGCGTCATTTATTTCTCATTGAATAAAAAACAAGAAAGCATATATATACATATATATATATTATGGATTATGTCTACTGCTATTAATGACACTCAATCATAATCTACTTATCTCAAAATCATACTATCGACTGTCTTGATAGTACTTGAGATAAGATAGTCCATTACCCGTGCCTACTAAAAACACACACACATACGGATATACTATATATTTATGGCTTAATTAAAAGACCCAATGTATTACAAATCCAAAAAGAAATTGTTACGATGTCCGGCTTATTTATAGTTCAAAGTCTTGATAAACTATATATATAATTTTATCATCAGTATCATATATTGATCTGGTTAACATCAAGATTTGTAAACGGACAAAGGCTTAAAACAGTTAGTGATTCACACTAAACAACAATTATGGTCCAAAAAGTTGACTGAAATCAGCATAAGGTTAAGAAAACAATATAGCCATTCAGACAGAGGGAAGATTGTCTCAGACTTAAAGAGTTCCTGAAGCCAAAACGAATGGCCAAATGACACATAAGATTAAGCCAAAGAGTCCCTAATGATAGCACTTTGTCCAAATACAAACTGTGTGTTTATTTAGTTTCTCGTAATATGGTTTAGTTTATGTTTTATTTCATCTAGAAGGACAATATGTCAAAAATAAATGGAAGACATTTTGATTAATGAGATAAACTGCTAACCCATCAATAACGAAATATCTCCTTTTTGTGATCTTTATTCTCCTCTTTAATTTTTTTAATTATATTAATCTATTTTACAATATCTCATAACCACTGTAATTATCACAAATCTGACTTTCTTTTTAATGTTTCAACAACTATATGGTATGATTATATCTTTTTACACAAATGTGAAATGTCTTCTCTGTGTGTGTGTCTCTCTCTCTCCCTCCGCTTCCGTTATCCACTACCATTCGACACGTGACAAAATGGGCCAGGCGATGACGATAGAGACGACGTCGTCGTATTCCATAGCTCCATCTCCGGCGTGTATTCCTGAGGTAAACCGGCGTGGTACGAAGCGGACCGGTTTAGGCTAGGGTACGGATGGTCTTGATCCACGTGGCTCTCGTCGACAGCTGCCATTGATGAGTATGATGTGGGTCCGTTAAGCTGCGAGGCCACGAGGCGGTCCAAAGCTGCCCAGCTAGTAACGAAGCTAGTGTCCACCACGTTGCTGACGTGGCTATTGTGATTAGTGTCGGGAGAGCTCACGTGGCAGTTGTTGATTGTTTGACTGTTAGGGCTTTCCAGGTTTGGGAGTTTCATGAAAGGGTCAAGATTTAGCTCTTCTTTACAAGATCGCCCCATAAGTTCGAGAAATTGCTCAAGGGTGTCCTCGTTGAAGATCTGAGACGACGACGTCCTCGCTGTGTCTCCGCCACCGCTCAGGGAAGCTCCTCCGACGGGACTGTTTAGGGTTTTGTGAAGATTCTTCTTCTTGAAAATTCGACACACCACCCATCCTTCGTCTTGTGATGCTTCCCCTATAATATTCACTACCTTAAATATTCATTAATAAAATAAACATATATCAGCAAAATTCATGTGTTTAAGCACATTTTGGTTAATCCAAAAAAAAACAAAAAATTCAAATATATATGACTAAGGAGATATAAAATAAATATAAATAAGTATATGTGCTGTTTACATATTCTTTAATTTTTACAACTTTAGTTTGAAAAATACAAAACGTATTTTTGTAATTTTGTAAACACACAAAATGTTATCAGTAATAAACTAATAACTTTTATTATGGTCAATGAATCATAATAAAAACAAAATCGAGATTGTGATGTAAAATGAAACATAACAGTCTCACCATATTTAAAAGAGAGCCCACATACTGTATACATATACTTTTGATTAAACTCCTAAATAAAAGTTCTGACTTCAATGATTTTCAATACATACCTCACGAACGGTGACATCCTCAGGGGAAACAATGTTGTCGTCGAGTCTATATTCATGCATGATCCAGTCAGACTTTTGGCCGTGAGGAGCTCGGCCTTTGTAGAAAACAAGAGTCTTTCTCATCCCGATCCTACGGCCATTGCTATATATGATCTTGTCACGGCCCGTTGCTTTCCAAAATCCCGCCGCAGTGGCTCGGTTAGTTCTCGTTCCCGTCGGATATTTTTTGTCCTTGTGGCTAAAAAAATACCAGTCGTTTTGTGGCGTTGTTCCTATTTTACACATCTCTGCATAGCGACAAAAGAAAAAATGTTAAGAAAAGACTTAAAAGAAACATAAGTTATATTATAACCAAACCTATATTGGTCTTTGCAGTAACGACTAACTCCTAAATGTAAACAAACAACAGCAACAACGAAGTGTAGATTCTCTGTACTGTAGTCATATTCTCATAAAATGTTACATGAGAACGTCATGTATAGAAAGTAGTATAGACAGCACATCCATTAATATACAAAGAAAAAATTATTAAATTCGGAAATTTGGATTAGGAGAGTGTGAGAAAACAGAAAATAATAATCCAAAAGATTTATATATATATAAACCTTGAATATCCCAAGGCTCGAGCTTGTTGAGATCAACGTCGCGAATGACATCGAGATCGATCTCGATGCTGTTAACTTTCTTCCGGAGATAATACTGCAACAGCTCTTCCTCTGTCGGGTGAAACCTGAACCCAGGTGGCACTTGAGACTGTCCGTTCACTGATATGCTCATAGATTTCGACATCATCAAAGAGATTTGAAGACAGCTCAGGAACAGAGCTGTGAGGTTTGTGTAACTACGTACCAAACTGAAAGTTGGAGATGAGAGAGAGCTTACGGAGAATGAGTCTATATATATATATATATATATATATATATATATATATTTATTCTTGTATAAAAAACAAGATGCATGAGGAAAACGCATGTGTCTCTTTGTGCACCTTTTTTGTTTTTTTTTCTTTGTTTTTTTTTGGGGCAAAGTTTTTTGTTCTTACTTAATTATTAAAATTTAGCTCCTATCATAAGCTTTTCCATTTGTTTTCATTAGTTAAATTGGTTTGAAAATTAAAATACATCCCTCCCCATAGCAATATTAATTTCACTGTCAATTATGAATGATTATTATTCTTTTGTTCCTTTTTCACAATTATTAGTGTCAATATTTCTTTGGCGTCTAGTCGTTTAAATAGTTTTGCTTTTTTATTATTATTTGTTATTAACTATCTTGAAAAATTAAAAACGTGAGCCTCACTATAGTGACTTGGTTACACTTATCTTTTTACAAGAACATAAAATCATCAAATATGATAAGAACATGCATCGTAATTGTTCGTTCTACAACATCATCGACATATTATCACTTAAGGGTTCAAATTAATATGTACAGTGTATACTTTTTCTCTCAAATTCTATGTTCATCTATTAAGTTCCAAAACTATGAAAACATTTACTGAAATTAAAGCTTATTATAAATATATCTTGATCTAATTACATTTTACATTTACAACGAGTGAAGAAGAGAAAACATAAAAAGGGAAGTATATAAATAATTGTCGGAGAAAAGAAAATAAAAAGGAGATGTAGTAATCAGAAGGAAAAGAGTAGGACCCGTAAGGCAACTAGATTGTAGGAAGCAAGCCCACATCGTAACGATGACCCTTGACCTTAAAAATCTCTATGGAAAAGCTCCCTTTAAACAAATTAACAACCCACACATCTTTATAGTATTACTATTACCACTTCTTCTCTCTTTTTTCCCTTCTTAGTCTTATATAAATCAGCTCTCTCTATTTATATGCACACACTACTGTATACGAAACATATATAAAGTCGGAATATATATGGAGTGTGTTTGCCCTCCGGAAGATGTGGCTTACTGGCTTTTCATCGATAAGTAAACGTTTCAATACAAAAGTTTTTTTGTTATTTTAAAACGAAAAGGTTGATCTTACTAAAAAAACCTTGATGTGACAAAGAGTGTTTTTCCATGGATGTGACGATGAGTTATATACTACATATATATATTTATAATATATGTGTTGTGTATGTTAAATATGGGAAATTATCTTCGGAAGAAAGTGGGAAATAATGCCCAAACGGTAGATTATTTGGTGTTCAAGAGATGATGGAGTTGGGTACTGACTAATGAGTATTCATGTCCCGTCTGAAATAGGATTATCCTTAACACTCGAATTCGTTTTATTATTTATTAAAAACTTCTAGAGTTACGTTTATTTATTTTTAAGATGTTTGCTCGATCGTTCGAGAGAACTTGTAGCCATAGCATCTAAATAATAAACGATAGAAATACAATTATATATAACATTATGAACATTGTTTGGACAACTGATAGTTTCATGCATCTAGCGGTTGTTTTCTAAGTTTTCATTATTATTTTTTAAAAAGCGGTTTATGCAACATCTAGCTAATACGTTTTACAAAAACATAGATAAAGTTATTATTTTATTTTCTTCAGAAAACAGATTCCATACTTTTACAGTTCTAAGATTTTTTCTCAATATATATTCCATCGATTCTTGTACTATTTTAGTTCTACATTCCAAATCATTTGTATTTGCTTCTTTTCTTTTTAATCCTTAGCAGTTTCTTGTTAGGTTCTGTTAGAGATCACTATATATAGTGGTGGTGATACTAAAAGAAGGTAACGATGACGTCAAAAGCCAAGTAGATTATCACTTACGCTGTACGTAGAACTGTATGTATGTGTAAGTACTTATTGTGTAGAAATATAATTAAGAAAACAAGATTAATGGAGGTAAGGAGTGATAATGTTGTTGGAACGAAGACTTTATTAGTTTTAATTAATATATAAGAAAAAAACAATTAAGACTTTATTTAAGATTAGTTAAGAAGCCTTTCTGAAATTGTCTAAACACAGAATCATTTTGTTGCGATTCCGGAATTCCATGCTTTTAATCATTATTTTTTAGCTTGATTAATGACATTGCACCCAACCTTTTCTTTTTTGTTGGTGAGTACATGTGTCTGTGTAGTCCATGTGTTTATTGGTTGCTCTTTGAAAATCCAAAACTTTCTAACTACTGCTACAAGATTTACGAACCTGTAGAAATTTACAGTTCATTATATTGATTCTTTCTAGTAGCCAATACAAATTCGTTTTGTAACAATTTTGTTTGATACAGGTTGTATCTATTTCAAGCGTAAATTTTATTATTAGAAGGACATATAGAAGGATATGAAAGGTGCAAATTGGTTTTGGAGTTTATGTATGCTCAACTTATTTATTTTTGTTCCTATCCATTGACTTAAGTATAATTCAAAATCAAGTTCTTGTGAAAATCTTTTGATATTAAAATAAAGCTTGATTTAACTTTTTGTTTTTTAATATCATAGAATGAATAACGCACGAACTAATTAAAAACTGATATCCATTAGAATTCACTAACCAATAATAATTCTAAGGTATCATGCATTATTATTCGTACATTTCCGTTCTTGGCCTTCATAATCTAATTCCATCTAGATGTCAACATCTAACATAGGTTTGAATTCAGATAGCGATCCAATTCTATACATGCTATTCTACAAACTTGATTACATGTTTTGGTGTTTTTAATTATATTTTTTTTTTGGTTAAAATAAATTTCCACCATGAAACTATATATTGCCAAGATATCATTAATTAATTATATCATGAACAATTAATTAAGTCGTTATATTTGGAAGTCTCATTTAACATAAGTATTATGGCAGAATCCATGGACTATGCGTATACATAATTTACGTAAGTTTTGAGGGCAGTTACGTATAGAGTGTTGGGTGGTTTTTTTCTTCCATGGGCACGTGAAGTATATATTGTAGTTTTCATTATATTGACGACCATATTGTCAAATTATTGGTTTACAAATTGATGTCATTTAACTGTCACATGTATGTTAATATACATATCTGGTACGTTCTCAAATCTCAACGACAAGCGCCCATGTACTTGTATATATATAAACCCCCCGATATGATTTTTTCTCATACCAAAAAATATTCACTTCATTACACAGTAGTATTATTATTACATATATATTGTATTTGGTGATGGAAAATAAATAAAGGAAACTGATATGGGATTTGTAATAAGTGAAAATAATTAAAACATAAATATGAAACTCTCTAGAAGATGAAGAAAGTTTGCATGGGAAGCAATCTTAGTTTGGTGAATTTTCGTCAAAATTTGTTAAGCCTTAATGGTGAGACGTCGTCATATGACTCCACGCTCCCTTTTCTTTTCATGACGAAGATGGCCAATTCTGTGTATATATATAGTTCCATTCATTTTTTGACTCTTTCACGATATGAACGTGTATCTCTTAATCTCTTCTTTTAAAATGGCATTGTTTAACAATTATTTATGTTTTTTTTTTAAGGAGTGTGTTTATGATGAGTATAATAGTCAATTCAACATAGTATTAATCCTTTCGAAACTTTTGTTTTGGAAAGCTAATCGACGTAACAAGATGATCAACCAAAATTTAGACTTACATGCACCGTGTCTATGTACAAGTACGTACAACAGTATGCATACTATATATAAATTTAAATTTGGTATACGTCTATCTCAAGATCATAGAGACATGCATGAGAAGATATCTATAAAATATATAAACATGGATACAAAAGACATAAAAAACCACAGACATTAACGTAGCATAATGATTATCATGAAAATAATTTACGTTTTTCCTTAGTTTTGTTCACTTATGGCGAGGTGGCCGTCCAGATTTATATAATTTATAGGGTAAACCCAAAAACACCAACACACATTTAGACGAAATAAGTGAATAAATAAAGGAAACAGTATCAAGAGCTAATCGTGGGGGGGGGGAGGAAGATAATATATGTGAAATGGATGGATGAACTGTCATTTTATAATGTAAGCATATACATAAATGCATATTATTGTACGTAGCTAAGACCTAGCGTTGCCTTGAGACAATAATATTCTTTTATTAGATACTGTCATAAAATAGCTGTTAAACAAAAAAAGGAAGAATATATTGTCCTAAATATTCCAGTATCTCCTGATATATTGTATATATAATTAACTTGAAATTATTCAAAAAGGTCGTCTTTTAGTTTTAGCGCAATTTTTTTTTTCTAGCTCAAAATGCAAAAGAGAAGAACTTAATTTTCTAATATTTTTAAACAAATTATACCGTACATGAAAAGATCTATGCTTAATTTATATATATTCTCAATTAACCTCGTATTGTAAACTAAAATTTAAACAGTTAAAAGAACGCATACACACGCTTGCATATTAGAATACATATATATTTTATACTTTTGTCTTTTATATAGAATTAGTCAAACCCACTTTAATTGGTAAAGAACTGTTTCAGTCAATTAAGAGTTTTATAGTTAAAGATTACAGAAAAAGTGAGTGTTATATTTGAATTTTCATTTTATATATATATAAAACTCTCCCAATCTTATTCTTATTCATAACTTATTATAAACGAAAAGGTCAACACTAAAACGCTTATTGTTGTTTCTAGATTATGACATCATGCCTATAAGATAATAATAATCATATAATAAACCCATGAATATTATGGTAAACTACTATCATATGTATATATATACATATGTCTCATTTTATAAAAATATAGGTCTATATACATTATATGCAAAAACTTTTGAAAGGTTAAGACTTAAAGACAAACTAATATCTACTGTAGTTTGTTTTTATTTGTAAATCCGATTTGAATTATCAAATGACACTTGTCACAATAACGTTTTTGATTTCAATTAGTAACAAGAAAATCTCATTACATTTCAAAGTTTGCTGGTTGGTGATGCTGCTTCAAAATCCGATTCCGAATCATTGTTAGATTTTTAATGGAATCTTTGTCGTCTTATATTTGTGCTCTTATACTCATTGGTATCTATTGACGAACATGCCGTTAATTAATTACATGCATGAGAGGATCAGGTGCCTATCTTTTTAAACTAAATATATAGATGAGCTAATACGACTTTTTAAAATTTTAGTTTAGAACTGCATGCATGGTCAAATTGCTGTAAATTTGGCCTTTTATAATATGCTAACATACTGATACATTATGCATTGCAAAACATGCATTCAAATATTCATATTTAAAAAGCTATTTATAGTACATATATTAATGCCTATTATATATATATGACGCATTTCACCCAATCGATGGTTACATAAGATTTTGTCTCTTCGTGATGATTGTGTCCCTATATGCTGGCAAAACATAGCAATCTTTTGTAAGACTAGGCGACCTAAGATAGAGCATAGCGGTCTGCTAATTTTGGTTAAGGCGTGAATCGTTAATGATTTGGAATCAAAATATAGTACATTGCATGGAAGCACAGGTCGATATCGTTCAACTTATAGAGTTAGGCACATGTTAGATATCTTAATGCTTTAGTATCAAATTTAGAAGCTATCCATCTTTCGTAGTACTAATTCTGTAAAAACATATTGAAGCTAATTAATTAGAACCAATTATGATGTTTCATTATTGTAATGATATATAGAACAGCTGAAATGAATGGTACGCCGTACGTACTACTATATTTATGTATATAAACAGACATTAGTGTGTTATAGTTAAGAAATAATTAAGTCGTCCCAAATATATGAAATTTTGTGCAAATAATTAAATTTTGAGTGAAGCCATATTAGAATTTGATACTCCGTTTCCGTTATATATATTGATAATATCTGTGTCACATACATGATAATATTTATTTTTAATATATATTACACACAAATTATTGAGAAATTGGGATATACTACATTTCTACAACCTATCAGGTCAATTTAGTTTTGAATTTTGATCAGAAATCTTGAACAAACATTTTATTTGCCATTCAATCTCAATCATTCATCTAACTTACCTAACTAGCTACACTTAATTACCAATTATTTTATCCTTATCAACCCTAACTTATAATTAAAACACAGCCGAAGCAAGATCGAGAGCTAGCTAGCTAGTAACTACACTTAAATATTCATTAATTTAAAACTGAACTATCGAACGGAATGAAACCCTAACAAAAACTTGGTAAAAAGCTAAAAAAGGAATCGTATAAATGAAAAGTTTTATAATGGGTCTTCCACGAATGGGCCTAGCGTGACACATTCATACACTTGTTAAAATTTAAAGCTAAGTGTGATGGACTTGAGACAAGGACTTAAGCCCACAGAGAGCCTTGCTTCATTTCAAAGACACGCTCGTAGTAATAGGCAAAGAAATATTATTATTCCTTTTAGGGTCGATAAATGATTTATCCTTTTATAATAAAGCCAACGAATATTCCACCACGTGGCAATGAGGAACGTTGACGGTCAAAATAACGGAATCCGTATGATTCGCTGTCACGTTCATACGCCACGACAAACCAATCAAACAGCGTTCTAACGGATTTCAGACTTTAAGGAAACACAATCGCTGGACACGTCACGCGTCAATTAAACACTCTTTTGAAGAACATCACTGAGATCAATGATCCCATGCACGCGGGACCACGTACGCGTGGTTAAGTCCTACGATCCACACCGTCGATGAAAAAGTACGAGTTATCGAACGGTGGTCTTGTGCAAGTTGAGAAAAAAAAAGTAGTTAGAATAATGTTATACAAGTAGTATAAAACAATAATAATAAAAATAAGGGAAAGTGGCTGAGCATAAACATGTGCATGCCTGCCTGTATCTTGCAGCCTTCATGTGGATTTTTTTTTTTAATTTTTATCAGTGCGACACTATCCATCATCAAATAACTCATATCTCTCTACACTTTCTTTCTTTATATCACCAAAAAAATATACACTACATTTTATATTTTCTTAAAAATAAAACTTAAATTTTGGGCTACCAAATTTCTACAATGTTAAATTGACTTTTACACCTTGTGTCTGACAATATCCATGTGTTGTTGATACACAGCTATAATGCTTCACGAGTCACTCTCTATACCTAAATACTTTAGTCTATTCTTAGTTATCATAGTTTCTAAGCAATGTAATAATCGCTACTTTCGTTTCTCTCGACTTGTCTGATGAAGCTTTTGCATGTGTTTTTCCACTAATTCAATGGTAATGTCTTTATAGATTTTGCCACTAAAGTCTTAACAAAAAAATATACTATATTTTATTTTTCGTTTTTCCATGATGGGTTTTTAGTTAAGAAAAACGGCTAATGTCGTCTACAGAAACAAAACGGCTAATGATTGGTAGACACAGTATCGATCCATCAGTCGTCTGAGATGTTTTCAACAAATTGTATATGGAAACAACAAAAATAAAATGCATACATTTCCACACTTACCGTTGGTACTTAATAGTAGTAAATAGTGACACATGAAATACAATTTGACGGCTATGATCGAATAAAAAAGAAAGCTAGTTTGTACTAAAAGACAAGCTCAACTGAAAAATAAATAAATAAACAATAATAATAGGGATAAAGATTTTTTAAAAATAAATATCTGAGAAAGAAGAGAAGGCGCAATTTTTGCAAATGTTTTTTGAGGAAGACAACCTGGCTTCTCTTTTATTAAAAAGAAAAAAAAACCCAGCTCTGTCCTACAATTTATATTATCTCATTCTTTTTTTTTTTTGTTAGTTTTTCTTTCTTATAAAAATACAAAGCATCCAAAAAAAATCGAATATAGGTAAGGTTGTGCCAGAAAGTCAAGACCCATTTAAAAACAAAGCATCATTCATGTATTACATTGTAACTATACATAAAATTCCATACTTTTTTTTTTCTGGTTATACAAAGAACATATAGGTAAGTTAACTCGAATAAACCAAAAAAAATTAGAAAACCTTTTTGTAGTAGTATATAATTAAAACTTTTTTCTCACCCTTATTTTTTATTTATTCTTAGGGAGGAACGGTCAAAGTTTGAGTTTTTTTTTTATATATAAAGTAAAAAAAAAAAGAGTGATTAATCGAGGAATTTGTAGATATCAAGAGAGGGAGGTTGAAGACAGCGAAGCAAATGTTTATGCAGCGGACCCAACACAAAGATATATTACAAAACAACGCACATATATATATATATATATATATATATATATATATATATATATATATTAAGTGTTTATATAAATATATAAATACAGCGAAAAAGGTAAAATCGGGTCTCTGGCTTTTCCTCATATTTCAATTTTGCATTCTCTCTCTCTCTATAGCCATTGTTGTCGTGGGTTCCCACTAGCAGCTTTCTTGTCTTCCTCCATTGGTTTCTCTCTTTTCCTTCAATCTATCAAAACAGAGGTTTTTGCTCCTTCTCCCATTGTTTCACTCTTTAGGTACAAAATTTTTAATTCCTTTCTTTTTCTTTCTTTGTATTCTGTGAGTCGTTTTCTTTTGAGTTGGGAGGGGTCAAAGTTTCAGTCTTTCTTTGGTTTTTAGTTCAAACTTTTGGGGTTTCGCGTTAAGGAAGCCTTAGAGAGAGAGAAAAAAAAGATTGAAACTTTCATGTGAATTTTTTAGGGTTTCTGAATTGGGGGTAAAAGCAATCAGATGACTCAACAGAGACAATTTCAGATGGAAGGTAATCATAATACTACTTGTACCAACGATACCAAGTTGACGAAAATCTTCGTGGGAGGATTAGCTTGGGAGACGCAGAGAGATACAATGAGGCGTTACTTTGAACAGTTTGGTGACATCGTTGAAGCAGTTGTCATTACTGACAAGAACACCGGAAGATCTAAAGGATATGGATTTGTATGTTCTTCTTCTTCTTTCTTTGTTTCTACTTCTCAGATAAAGTTTCCCTTTTTCTTAAGTCGGGTTTTGATTTGATCAGGTGACGTTTAAGGATGCTGAAGCTGCCATGAGAGCTTGTCAGAATATGAATCCTGTGATTGATGGAAGGAGAGCTAATTGCAACCTTGCTTGTCTTGGTGCTCAGAAACCTCGACCTCCTACTTCTCCAAGACATGGTTTTTAATTTTTTTACTATTTCTCTCTTTCTCTCTTTCTCTATAATGCAATGGGAACTAGCTTAGGGTGATTGAAAATATCTTATCTTTTGGATCTTCTTACTTGATTAACACGTGAAGGAGTCAAATTTTGTTTGATCATTTATCGAAGAAACTTGATTTGTAGGAGGAGCAGGGAGATTCAGATCACCAGGATCAGGAGTGGGATTAGTTGCTCCTTCTCCTCAGTTTCGAGGCTCTTCTTCTTCCTCTGCTTTTGTTCATCAACAGCAACAACAACACACTGGTCAATTCCCATTTCCCTATCCTGCTTACGGGTAAGCATAATCATCACATCAAATGAAAAATCGATTCTGGTTAATGTGTGTAGCAAAGCCTAATATGTTTCTATTTCTTCTTCTGCAGGTTTTCTGGATATTCTCAAGAGGGGATGTACCCAATGGTTAGTTAATTTCATATGATCTTTCACAATGTGACTTGTTTCCATTTCACTGATTTATCATCTTTGAAGTTCTTATGTATGTGTTTTGGGTTTTTCAGAACTACTACAATCATCATCTCTATGGAGGACAACAGTTTGCACCATATATGGGACATCCATCATCAGGATCAACAGGAATGTACCATGGGTTTTATCCATTCTATGCTCAATACAATGCAGCACAAAGTAGCAATCAGGCACAGGCTCAAGCTCAACATCATCAAGGTTACAGCTTTCAATACACTACTGCTCCACCTCCACCTCCTCTGCTGCAGTATCCTTACTTGCCTCATCAGCAGCAGCCTCCGCCTCCTATACTCTCCCTCCCAACCTCTTTGGCTCTATCATTACCATCCTCTTCAACTTCTGCCTCAGGTTTGATCTCACAACTCGATCTTGATTAAAAAACCATTGGACACATTGTTCTGAATCATGCTTGATTGTTTGTTTTGTTGTCTATTCAGCTGCAACCACAGCAACAAAAACAGTAGTGATTACTACAGCGACAAAGAACGCAGCAGCAGCAGCTGAAACAAGCACGAAAGATGGCCATGAAGCAATTACAACATCAACCATCAAGATAGAAGATTGATACAGTACTACTAGTACAATAGCCAGAGCAAGGGAAAAACTTCAGTGTACACTAACTCATCAGCAGTCTCTCCAACCAACGTTCTAGAAACATTCATTCATCGTTCTTAATTAGGAGTCTAGAATCTTAATTAGTATTTAGGAGGAAGAGGAAGGAGAAGAAGAAGAAGAAGAAGAAGAAGGAAACAATCATATCACATTCTTTGTTTTATTTTATTTTTGGTTGTTTAAAGATTCATATTGCATTTTAGGTTAAAGGATCAAGAGAGGGCATTGGTGGCTTTTCTTAAGATTCTTAGAGGAAGAAGAAGAAGAAAAAAAACATGGATGGATGCAGAAAGCATCATCAGATTATTACATTCATTTGGGGATTTTATTTTTCAGGTTCAAAAGAAATGTTTTATGTCTTCTTTTGAACCGAAACTGGATTTTTTAAGCTTCGGATAAGCTTAAAATCCCTTTTTTTCTCTTCACATTTGTAATTCTTGAAATTGTTATAATTCAATCACAATTTGCTTCTTCATATATTGCTTTAATCAGCTGGTTCGTTCATCGTTTGCTTTCACCTGTGCATTTTCTATTACTTATTTTTAATTCAAAACTGAAACTTTTTTTTTTTATGATTGATTTTGAATTCGCATGATCATGTTGTGTTAAAGGTTCACAAAGTAAAATGATTATTATCTTTGGATTCCAAAGGGGATCTTATGAAGACAAAATAAAAAGTACCGGTCAAAAGACCGTTGGAATAAACGGATCTTTTTTTTTTTTCCTTCCTTCCTCCCTCTATGGATAATATTTCACGACTACTATTATTAGTATTTTATAATATACCCATTTATTGTCTTTTTTTGTTTTTTTTTTCTTTTCTTATAACCAAAACAATTACAATATCATAGTAATTCTTTTTTCTAACTTATGTGACACTTGTTGCAGAAGAGACACACGAAACTCGTCTTTGTCTGCAATATATAAATAGAAAATGGACCCCAAAATAAAATAAAAAATATCTGGAATGGATATTTCAATGAAAACTTGGAAGATGAATGAAACAACCAATATAAATAACATATGGTCAGAAGGCCAGGCCTGTATATGAAAATCAGACTCAGGTTTCATTTTCACCAATATATAAACCAAATCAGTATGATGAATTAATGATGATTAAGAGCACTAAAGTGATGGGCTTTTTAAAAGCTAAGCCCTAAATGATTTGAAAGCCCAATATTGACGTTTGCATGTAAGACATATGTGTAACTAAGTTGGCCATAAAAAGCTACGAGCCTTAGATTTGTAAACACGCAACGCAAGAATATGTTTTTAAAGTTATTTATGTTTTACCTTCTGTCCTTATCATATACAGATGATATAGATCGATAGATATTTTTTTTCTTTATTAATTAGACGATGGGACTTTTTTTTCGACGCACAGCAAAGTGTATATAGATGGTTCTAGAATCCCTTGCGATATCCACAGAAAATTCATTAAATAACCAAAAAAATAAAAGTATTATTCCATTTAGGGTCCAAATTTACGAGGCCACTACAAAAATTTGATTTAATTAAAGCTAGTGGCATTTTATATAGAAAGTAATCAAATTGTTATTAATTCTCCCATTTGATAAGTTTAAATATATAATTTGCTTTATGAAAAAGAGAAAAAAAGGCCATCCAATTTGAATGATACATAGAAGAGAACAGCTGAAGAAAATAAATAAAAATCTCAACTTAATAAAAAGTTTAATAAAAATGGAAACCTTGTAAATCAAACATAGCCACACAAAGACAATAGAAACACACGTGTCATGCGCGTGACCACTAGATCATATTCAGGGGAATATGTTCACCTCCGTAGAGCAATTAGGTAAATGACACGTGTAAATGTGGACCTGAGAAGCAGAGGACCACCTCCACCGAATCAGCCGCGATACAGAGAAAATCAAAACAATGGCTCATATTAAGCCACGTCAGCTCAGTGAAGGCCCGCCTTTGCTTCTCACCGTTAATTAGATTTCTCAAATTGTTTATTGTGCTCTGCAGCTCTTATTACAACATACTACAAGTCTTCTTCTTTCTCGGTGTTAGATATTTTCGTGGTTGTGATCCAAAGATACCAAACTAAATTAATAGTTTCTTTTTCTTCTTCCTTCCTTCTTCATCTTCTCTTCAACCTCTGATATTTTTTTCTCTCTCTTTCTCTCTCCTTCAATCCTTTTGATCGGAAACGATTTATCTGAGCGGACTAAGATCTGTTTTCACCGAGATACTCGTTTCGTTTGCTGTTTTGTATTTTTTGACTTTTTTGGTGTTATCAAGTTCTGCTTTTTTTTGTTTGCTTTTTGAGCTTCGATTCGATGGGGGAGATTGTAGTTTTAAGTAGTGATGATGGTATGGAGACGATGAAGAACAACAGAGGCAAGTCCTCGGAAGTTGTTCAGTGGGAGAAGTATTTGCCTAAAACTGTGCTTAGGGTTTTGCTAGTTGAATCTGATGATTCAACTCGTCAAATCATCACTGCTCTGCTTCGTAAATGCTGTTACAAAGGTGGATTGATCTTTTCTTCATTTACTTATGATAAAGTTTGCTTTTTTTTTTTTATGTATTGATTTAGTTTGAAGATGTTTGACCTGTGAAACTAAAAAAAAAACTCGATCTTGCTTTTTTGATTTATTACAGTTGTTGCTGTTTCCGATGGTTTAGCTGCTTGGGAGATTCTTAAGGAGAAGTCACATAACATTGATCTTGTACTAACTGAGCTGGATTTGCCATCTATATCTGGTTTTGCTCTGCTTGCTTTGGTCATGGAGCATGAAGCTTGCAAGAACATTCCTGTCATAAGTACGATGGTGATCCCCAAAGTCCTTTATACCTCTGAAAACGCCTTTTTAAGAGATTTTTTGTTCTCATGTTTTTTTTTCTTGAAATGAATAGTGATGTCTTCCCAAGATTCGATAAAAATGGTGTTGAAGTGTATGCTGAGAGGTGCTGCTGATTATCTAATTAAACCCATGAGGAAAAACGAGTTGAAAAATCTATGGCAACATGTATGGCGAAGACTTACTGTAAGATATTTTCCTTTTTTGTTTTGGTGTTTTGGATTTTGTTTCCTTATGTTGAAGTTTGTAGTTTGAATGACTTATTGTGTTTTTGGTTATGAATCAGTTGCGTGATGATCCTACGGCTCATGCTCAAAGTTTACCAGCGTCACAGCACAACCTTGAAGACACTGATGAAACTAGTGGAGATTCCAGATATCATTCCGATCAAGGAAGTGGTGCTCAGGTATAGATGTTACCACCACTGAGTTGTTACATGATACAATCTATATGTTTTTGATTATATTTTGTATGAGTTGTGGTCACTCATATTGACACTGCATAGTATTGTCATTTTTCCAGAGTTTTTTGTTTATCGCATTTCATTAGAAGCTAATATAGTACACTTGCATATTATGCAGGCTATCAGCTACAATGGTCACAATAAGCTAATGGAAAATGCCAAATCACTAGATGACAGAGACGAGGTTAAGGATTCTGGTAGAATTGACAAAAAGCCTGAATCTTTTGATGTGACAATGGATTTGATTGGCGGAATTGACAAACGGCCTGAGTGTATCTTTGGAGACATCAGTCGTGACGCCTGTGTTGGTCCCGAGCTTGGACTCTCTCTGAAAAGATCTTGCTCTATTAGTTTTGAGAACCGAGATGAAAGCAAGCACCAAAAGCTTAGCCTCCCTGACGCATCAGCCTTCTTAAGGTTAGTGTGTTTCCTTGCTCGAAAAAGGGAGTCTCTCAAATCTTTTGATAAGTCTCTTAATGAATCACTAACTTTACTTATTAACTTGCAGATTCGAGAATAGCAAAGAAGCAGAGAAAGCCGTGGTTGCTTTAGAGGCGAGTAGTTCAGGGGAGCCAAAGACACCAACCGAATCACATGAAAAGTTAAGAAAAGTAAGATCTGATCAGGGAAGCGCCACAACGAGCAGCAACCAGGAGAATATTGGATCATCAAGCATAACTGGACAATGTGGGCAGAATGAGTTAAGCTTCAATCACCAAGTTATTCCGTCCGCGGTTACAAATCAAGTGCAAGATTCCCCCGTTCCAGTAGAATCAAATCGTTTGAAAGCTAGCAAGGAAGTAGAAGTCGGATCTCAAAGCACCTGCTGCAACACCAGCGAGGGGATTGCAGGACAAAGTAGCAGCACAGAGAAAAAACCAAAGGAGGAAGAAAGTGCACAACAACGTTGGAGTCGAAGCCAGAGAGAAGCTGCACTGATGAAGTTCCGGTTGAAGAGGAAAGATCGATGCTTTGATAAAAAGGTAAGAGACCCACAACAAGCTTCATCATAAACACTAAACAGCATCTGAATCAAAATACACAGGATCGAACTGATTCAATGGGGATGTATAATAAAAAAAAATGGATTACAGGTTCGGTACCAGAGCAGGAAGAAGCTAGCAGAACAACGGCCAAGAGTGAAAGGCCAGTTCGTGCGTGCTGTCAATTCAGACTCGTCTACTAAAGCCTGAAGAAGCTCAACGGAAAACAACTCCTAGAAGTTTGTCTCGATTTCTTTTGTTGATTTTAATATATTAGTAGAAAACTTATTTTAGTGTGCTTTGGTATGTTTGATTGGCCTCTTCTGAGAGAATTGGGGTCACTTTTGTATATATTCAACTCTGAGAAGTGAAAATGATCAGGCTTAGCCAAAACCGTAACTTGATAATGATGTTCGTTGTTATGTTGAAATTGAAACTGGTGGTTCAAAAACTAGTGTAACATAGATATAACCCAATCATTAGGCTAAACCGACACTCCGAACCAATCGCTTGATTGGAAACCGGATAAAAAAGCCGCTTGATTGGTTTGGTTAGAGATTCAAATTTCGCCGGTGAGAGAACCAATCATTGAATATAAGAAGACAGCAAATATTACGGTCCATAGATATCGTCCACGTGTTCCTCACTATTACCGTCAAAGGAGAAAATAAAAAATAAAAAACAAGAATGGAACCATAGAGATTCGAAAGAGACTTGAGAGAGATCTCCCGAAGGAGATAAGAGAGAAAAAAAGAAAAAAAAATAGAGGGTTTGGTGGATCTCTCATGTAATCGGTGCTCCCCGATTTTTTTCCTTTTCTTATTTTTAAAAAAGCTTTCTCCTTTTGGCCGCCTCTACCCTGCCCAGAGAGATTCTTATACAGCTGAATCTTCAATTTGGTTACTTGAATCTCGACTCTCTTCTGGTGAGTCTCTCTCTCTCTCTCTCTTACTTTGGCTCTGTGCTAAAGGTAGGGTTTTCAATTGCTGCTGCTGCTTTCTGAACCCTTCTTCTTCCTCACGCGGCCAGCCACGTTTTTTTTTGGGGTTTGGGTTTCCTTCAAAATCTGACTTTTATTATCTAGAATTGGTCTTGTGGGAGACGTTTAGATTTTATTATTGTATCGTACTTGAACCAGTATTTTCTGATGCATTATGAATCGTGTTAGGGTTTGTGATTCTTCACTTTCTGACTCTGACATCTGGAATTGGTCTGATTGGGACACTTTGATTCTCTTTTACTGTTGTTTATATATTAGGGTCAAACTTGATTCAGTCATTTTTTTTTGTGTGTGTTGTATCTCTTTATTTGTATTGTTTTGGGTTTCGACTCTTTAAGTTGTGATGATTATTATATGGTGTGAAACCGTTGACTAGTTTGTTTTTAAATTCCTTTCTCTGTGTTTGCTTGAAGTGTTCCTCCTTCTGTAGCTGTAAATAGTGGCATACATGTCCTCTTCTAATGATTTGATCTTTCTGGTTATATTTGCTTTCTTTTTTGTTGAAACAGATTACCAAATTCGGAAAGCTATTCTTGTGGCTCATTTGAATTGGGATTCCGTTATCTTATTGTAAAGGTAACTGATTTGTGGTTTGCTTCTTGACTTCTCTTCAGCCTTTTTTTGGTTGTTTTCTCATTTTCCCTTAACCTTTTCTCTTTGCAGATGGAGTCTTCAAGTCCCCACCATAGTCACATTGTTGAGGTTAATGTTGCAAAGTCTGGTGAAGAAAGAATTATTGCTGGAAGTAAAGTCTGTGGAGAAGCGCCGTGTGGGTTTTCAGATTCTAAGAATGCTTCAGGGGATGCCGCAGAACGCAATGCTTCTATGCGAAAGCTTTGTATCGCTGTCGTGCTGTGTCTAGTGTTCATGAGCGTTGAAGTTGTTGGTGGCATCAAAGCCAACAGTTTGGCCATACTAACCGACGCTGCTCATTTGCTCTCTGACGTTGCTGCCTTTGCAATCTCGCTGTTCTCATTGTGGGCTGCTGGCTGGGAAGCGACACCGAGGCAGACTTATGGGTTTTTCAGGATTGAGATTTTGGGAGCTCTTGTGTCTATCCAGCTCATTTGGTTGCTCACGGGAATTCTGGTGTACGAAGCCATTATCAGGATTGTCACCGAGACCAGTGAGGTTAATGGATTCCTCATGTTTCTTGTTTCTGCTTTTGGTCTAGTGGTGAACATCATAATGGCTGTTTTGCTTGGACATGATCATGGTCACAGTCATGGGCATAGCCATGGTCATGACCATCACGATCATGGTGGAAACCATATCCATGGGGTGACTGTTACTACCCATCACCATCATCATGATCATGGTCAGAGTCATGGTGAGGACAAACACCATGCTCATGGGGATGTTACTGAGCAATTGTTGGACAAATCAAAGACTCAAGTCACGGAAAAAGAGAAAAGAAAGAGGAACATCAACGTCCAGGGAGCTTATCTTCATGTCCTTGGGGATTCCATCCAGAGTGTTGGTGTTATGATTGGAGGAGCTATCATTTGGTACAATCCGAAACTGAAGATTGTGGATCTAATCTGTACGCTTGTCTTTTCGGTTATTGTCTTAGGAACAACCATCAACATGATTCGAAGCATTCTAGAAGTATTGATGGAGAGTACACCCAGGGAGATTGATGCTACAAAACTCGAAAAGGGTTTGCTCGAAATAGAAGAAGTGGTGGCTGTTCATGAGCTTCACATTTGGGCAATCACAGTGGGAAAAGTGCTATTGGCTTGCCATGTCAACATCAGACCAGAAGCAAATGCAGATATGGTACTCAACAAGGTAATTGATTACATCCGCAGGGAGCATAACATTACTCATGTTACGATACAAATCGAGCGCTAAAAGAAAAGCTAAGATCTGATGAAGAGTTTTGTATCAGCATTCTCATTAACAATAATTAATAAAGTTTCTACCTTTTTCCACTTTCTGTGTTCCTCTGCTTTATAGTTATGTGTCATGATCGTTTGGTTGTGCACAAGTAAGCATTATTCCTCTTCAAGGAAGAAACTTTTTGTCCTTGTTTCAAAAAGGGTGAAAGGACACAACTGCTTAGAACTGATACGTCATCTTAACTTTTCTGAGATTAGGTCTGCCTTCATTTAAGATTCATTATCTTCCTAGGAGTCACAGGGCTTGTGATTGTGTTAGAAGCAGAATCTGACTGATTGCTAGGGGTTTAATTGATATGTCACAAGTGGGCCATGTTTGTCCTGAGAGTAAGTAACCAGAGCTTTAAGTTACATCAACAAGTACACACAAAGATGAAATCTCCAAACCCTAATTTGTTGATAAGGTCTCTAAAGGCATTCTTTAATCAAAACTCAGGTAAAGGTTGAACTTTTAATTATTTTACTTTGGTTGGCTTCTTATCACAGTAGTATGAACGAGATCTCCAGAATGCAGACAAATTTATTCGTGTGTTCTGGGAAATTTGTGTTGGATCTTGTTTTGGCTGTGTTAGACTTACCACGTGAGATAAACAGAGGCCACAATTGCGAACATGGATAAGGTTTTTTCTTGTGTTGTGAACTTAGTAAGATTGAATCTGAGTTCTTAAAAGAGAGATAAATTTCGGATTTGATCGGTGACAAAACGTAGTTCTTTGGAATCAGATGTAAATGTGCAAAAGAAGTAAGGGACAAAAAAGGGATTCTCACCGTTTTATTTTACAGCTCGTAAATACACAAAATCAGATGAAAATACAAAGATATTTGCAGGCAGACACTGGTTAGTACCCCTAAAGCCAAGGCATCGACGCTTGCATGTTTAACAGATAAGAAGCCACAATTCACGGGTTAACGACTCGATCATGAGTGAACACAGAGACTTCAAAAGTTTCAGTTTTTATCCATTGGGTTGCAACAAAAGTTGAAAGCTTTTTAATGTGAAAACACAAAATCAATGGAAACTCTCTTCTGCTTCTTCATCTTCTTCATCTTCCGTGTGTTAACAGAAGTCCCCACAATTGTCTGTCTCCGCTGCCAGACAAAACTGCCACAGCCAATAATGTTTCTCTGAGGGACCTTTCTTCTGTCAGAGACTCTTTCTCCCTCTCTCCTCTTTCCTCTTCTTGCTCTGCTCAGCCCTCCCACCAACTCATCTTCAGTCCTCAAACAAACATCTGGCTTCATCTCTTTACCACTTGTGTTTTCTTTCCTTTCTCTTTCATATCTCATTTTCAATTTCCCAATTTCTCTTCAACATCATCACAACAGTTTAAGACCCCTCTTCTTTATAAAGCTAAAAGCTTTAGCTTCAGAGACTTTCATAACAAGACGTGAATACATAAGTTTCCTGTTTTTAGTTCATTAAACCTCTCACATTTATTTCTTCCCATCATTGTCCTAGAGGAGAGAAAGAAAAAGAGCTCAGCTTTTCAAATGGAGAGGAGTGTTCAAGGACAAAACAAGCTCTGTGTAATGTATCTTATCTCAATATGGAACGTTTTCGTTTTCTTCTTTCTTTTAATCTTTTCTTTCAACTATTGATTCTGTAATCAAAGGATGTGGACTTGCATTTACTCCTTCCAAAAGAGTCCACAATGGTTGCATTCAATGCTGTGTATGTTTGTTATACCGAAAACACTAACAAATCTGCTCTCAACTGTTTCCCTCTCTTTGAAACATTCCATTTTTCATCCTAATTTTGTTTCTCTACACTGACCCACTAACCAAAACCCACAGTAGAATTTAACCAAATTTAATATCTTTTTGAAGTCTCACTTCTTTCACTTTCTCTCACTCACTTGGTTGGTATCTCCTCCCTCTGCTTTTTTTTTTTATTGCAGTCTTTGGATCAAAAAGTGAATGTGAGAAGAAGCCTACAAGTTCAAGGATCTGTAGAGAATCATCAAAGCTTTGCCTTTGAGGAAGAACAGTCGTCAACTGCAAGCTTGCTGCAAGATACAACGATTCCATTTCTACAAATGCTGCAACAAAGTGAAGAACCTTCTTCGTTTTTGTCCATCAAAGAACCAAACTTTCTAGCACTACTATCTCTCCAGACACTTGGAAAGCCTAATTGGGAACTCGAAAATTATCTCCCACATGAAGTTCCAGAGTTTCATTCACCGATCAATTCTGAAACCAACCACTACTATCAGAATACATATCTGGAAGGAGTCAGTGAAGCCATCTCAGGCCAAGAACTTCCGTTCAACCCGCTTCAAAATGCTAATTCAAGACGCAAACGGAAGAACAACAACCTGGTGACATTGATGAACAAAGAAAAGAGAAAGAGAAGGAGAACAAAACCAGCAAAGAACATAGAAGAGATGGAGAGTCAAAGAATGACACACATTGCGGTCGAACGAAACCGCAGACGCCAAATGAACGTTCATCTCAACTCACTCCGCTCCATCATTCCATCCTCCTACATCCAAAGGGTAATAAACCAGACCCACATATCAAAGTTTCAACCTTTCGTAATGTCGAAATTCCTTAAAACTAAGGTTGTTGTTTTGATAGGGAGATCAAGCGTCAATAGTAGGAGGAGCAATAGACTTCGTGAAGATCCTGGAGCAACGCTTACAATCCCTTGAAGCACAAAAGACAACTCAACAGAGTAGTGATAGCAAAGAGCAAATTCCAGAAGATAACAATCTCAGGGACATTTCGTCGAACAAGTTGCGTGGGAGTAAAGAAGAAGAAGAGAGTAGCAGGCTCAAAATCGACGCCACAGTGATAGAGAGCCACGTCAATCTCAAAATCCAATGCACGAGGAAACAAGGACAACTTCTAAGATCAATCATTATGCTCGAGAAATTTGGATTCACTGTTCTTCACCTCAACATCACATCTCCAACCAATACATCTGTCTCTTATTCCTTCAACCTCAAGGTACTTACTTTTATAAAACACACACAAAACCCATTTAACAAAATCATCGACATTGGTGAAAAGATTAAAACTTTTTTGTTTTTTTGCAAAATTGTCAGATGGAAGATGACTGCAAACTGGGATCGGCCGATGAGATAACGGCGGCGATACGTCAGATATTCGAGTGATGGATTAATTGAATTAAAAAAAACACTGAAACGTCCAAAAAGAAGGAAAGAAAAAGTAACGTCCTTTGGTAACTTCGTTTTCAAGAGTGGCGAAAATTAAATTCTAAAATTTGGTCGTATGTAATTGGAGTCTTCTCGGCATGGAACTTGACTTCGTTTTTTCTAGGCTACTCCTACACAACTTGGGGTCCTACTTGATATTATATGTTTATGCATATGTATTTCAAGTTTGACCTCTCTGTCTCTCTTGTATTCATGAATCTTCATCATTGTCTTTCTTGTTTTGCCTCTCTCTTGGGGTTTTGACTTTTTGGCTCTACTAAAAAAAATATCTCACCTGCACATACTCATTAAAAGGCATGGGTCTACTGAATGTTCTTCTGAGTAATTGATAGGCTTATAGTTAAGAAGCCCACATTCTTTTGGTAGAATACAAACAAGGCCCATTGGATCAGTTACTTAAAGCCGATTTTACATTTAATAGTCATTCAGATGGTTTCGGATTTAATCCCATAACTTAGAATATGTGAAAGAAGTCAACAAAATTCATCAATGGAGCTATCTATCTAGTACTTACAATCACTAAGACCCCCTAGACAACTTCTTTTATATTGTAGAGAGAATGTAATCAACAAAAGTTGTTATTTTGCAGTATAACAAGAGAACAATATATGTTATCCAATTTATTAGTAAAAGTTAAAACTTGGATTGAAAGTTATCTTCTTCATTCCAAGTTATACAAAGACAAGATGAATTCTTTTTTTTGTTTGTTTTCTTAAGAATTGAGTCCAAATTATATAAAAGGAGCAAAAAAAACCCAATTCTATCTATCCAATGAGAACTCCAAGATCGTCTCAACGTACGCCACGTCAGCACTATCCTGATCGGGAAACCCAAAACGAGTGGTCGAATTGGCTCCGACTGGTCACAGAGAAACCATCTCCACAATCCCCAAACCTCTCTCTCTCTCTCTCAACACTTCTTCTCCATTAATCTTTAGATAATACCAAAATTGTTTTCTAATTTGTTTAGTTTCCTGTGGGTGATTCTTCTGAGGCTCGAAGCTCCCAAAAGCCATGGCTTCCCTTTCAGTCTCTTCTTCTTCGACCATCATCGATTCAAGAGCTCCTCCTTCTCGGCAAGCCTCCGCCTCTTCTCCGTCGTGTATTTCACTTCCCACGCTTCCTCCTCCTCCGATTCAGTCTCAGAACCGCGCCGCCAAAGCCACTGCTTACTGTTCGTTCTCCACTCTCCACAAATCTGTAACCTTTATTTACTTTCATTTCCCGGATATGAATCGTGTTTAAAAATGCCAACTTTTCGAATTTTAGGTCGGAAGATTGTGAGGAACGTTGTCACCAGAGCTACTACTGAAGTTGGTGAAGCTCCTGCCACTACTACCGACACTGAGACTACAGAATTACCTGAAATCGTCAAGACTGCTCAACAAGCTGTAAAAACCCTAACTTTATCTCCATTTCACAATAAACCCTATAATGATTGATTCTGCTTTCGTGTTTCTGTGTGTTGTCTCTGCTATGAACTGAATTTGGTTGTTTGGATTGAAGTGGGAGAAAGTAGAGGACAAGTACGCTATTAGTTCTCTTGCCTTGGCTGGTGTTGTGGCTCTTTGGGGATCTACTGGAATGATTTCGGTGAGTAGAAGAACCATATTCCCATCTTGGAAACGTTACCCTTAGTTTCCTTTATTTAATTCCAGAATTTGATTTTGTGAAATAGGCAATCGATAAGCTTCCATTGGTTCCTGGTGTTCTTGAACTTGTAGGCATCGGTTACACAGGGGTGAGTTTCTTCTTCTTTGATCTTGTCTTTGTATAATTTGAATCTTTCCTAGGTTTTGGGTTTCATTAGAGAATTGTTTAGCGTTTGGTGAACTCGTTGTGAGGATTTAGATGATTCATCAGCATCACTTTGAGAATTTAGGATTAGTCCTCTGATTCAAGAATCCGAACAGATGCGATTTAGTCTATTCATATTTGGATCTTACATTAAAATTGGAGTACTGCTTCTCATGAATCTCAAGACAAGTTGTTAAGTTGCATGTGTGATGGACCTTTAACATGTATTTTTTGTTTTTGGTTGCAGTGGTTCACTTACAAGAACTTGATCTTCAAGCCAGACAGGTTAGTTGACCAATTCCTTATAACCTGATAAAATGCTTCAAGTCAGTGCTTGGTGTCGTGTAGCATTGAGAATTACGAAACTCAGATTCTCGAGGAAATGGTTTGTTTATGTGTGTTTCAGGGAGGCTCTGTTTCAGAAGGTCAAGGACACATACAAAGACATATTAGGGAGTAGCTGAATCAAAGGATGAAGAAGATGAGCCCTTTTTGGGGGCCATTTCATGAATTCGAATGAAGGATAGCAAAAGAATCTAACAGATCCCACATCTTTCCTTCTTGTAACTAAATAATTTTCATCCTCTCTCTATCTATGGTCTTTTTTGTTATAGCTCAAAATGTCATCCATTTATGTCAAGTGTTGTAAATTCCTCAAGACTATATATGAGATGTTTATTTCATCTTCCATGTCTCAAGACTTGGTCTCCATCAACCGTCTACCCTTAACCCTTCATGCATGGTCTGAACAAATTTTGTAAAATACATAATCCTTTTATGGGATGGGACGCTCATGATCCCACTAATGCATCTGTTTGTGTTTGTTTTATTCCTCCTATCTTAGGCTTAGCTGTAAATTCTTGAATTGCTTGCAAATGGGGGAATCTGCTAATGGTCTCTCTCTTCTCAGCTTAAAGAACAAAGCCTTTTGTTGGTCCAAAACATGTATTTATATGGGCCTGGCCCTATAATGCTTTCGATCCATTAGAGTACATAGCGCGTGTCGTGGACTGGACGGTGCGCGCGTCCCAATGTTGGAGAAGCAGTAGGAGTCTAGATTCCCGGGTCCACTGATGGTTCTAGCGAATGGGACACGTGTCGACAAACTTGTGGAAGAGATGAACGATCTTATGTAGGTCCCACAATATCAAGATATTATGAAGTAAATGACAATTTTAACCTTTCAGGTATCCCCTGAACTCGTGGCCTAGATGCGGAGAAGGTTACGAACAAGTTGTGTCGGAGATGGATAAGAATGTAAATTACGTAAAAGCTGATTCATCGCATCAGCCACTAATATATTGACATATGGCAGTTTCTTTTGTAGCCTTAAGAAATAAAATAGTTTTGGAGGAGGACAAAGATAAATTATAGTGGCTGAGATTTTTCCATTTTTGTAGCTTTTGGTCTCTCTTTTTTTTTTTTTGCTTGAATGATCAAATAAACCAAACTAGTCTCTTGCTTCTTCTTCTTCTCGATTTCTTATTGTTTTTCAATATCAGATTCTGATAACTATTTTTATTTTTCCACAAAAATGGGATCTTCATTGAATCCAAGCTGAGTTTGGTTTCTTCAACTGAATCGCTCCCTCTCTCTAAGGTACTTACTTACTAAATCTGAAAATGGTTTTTGTCTCATCTTCTTTCTGATTTCTCAATTGATGAAAGAACCTTACTTTATTGTGTTTTTTTTTTTTTTTTTATTAAAGAGAAGATCTGAAGTTGTGTGTATAGCTTGAGGAGGAGCTTAGAGATGGAGACAAATTCTTCTGGAGAAGATCTTATTATTAAGGTAATTATATTGAAATTTAGGGAGATTATTTGTTAGGTGTGGGAAAATGATGGAGGCATTAAGTGAAATTTTTGTGTTAAATCATAAATTTTAGACGAGGAAGCCATATAAGATAACAAAACAACGTGAAAGGTGGACTGAGGAAGAACATAATAGATTCATTGAAGCTTTGAGGCTTTATGGTAGAGCATGGCAGAAGATTGAAGGTTGATTTTTTATATTTTTCTTTCTTTAACATCTTTCTGTCTTTGCCATAGGTCTCCCTTGTTTTGTTTTGTTCAAAGTCAAACTCATTTACGTTTATTTTTTTTTCATTTGGACAGAACATGTAGCAACAAAAACTGCTGTTCAGATAAGAAGTCACGCTCAGAAGTTTTTTTCCAAGGTAAAATCGGTTAATTTTTGAACCATCTCTTCTCTCATCTTCGTTGGCTTATGGTTAAGACTTATTGAAGACAGGCAAGTTTTCTCCTTCTTTTGCTTTATTCGAGGGATATAGATTACGTATTAGAGTTAGTGATGAGTACTAAGTCTAAGAAATGAGATAGACATTTTGTCTGGTGTCTGGCTTTCTGCCTTTGTGTTGTTTAATCCACACACATGTATATAGCATCTTCAGAAGAATGTTAGTTTCTCTTGAAACTCAAGGGAGAACCACTTGTGCCTTCTTGAAACTCTTATTGATTCTGAGCTAGTGGCAGATGTGGGCTAAGTCCTAGAAATTTCTGTTTCAATAACCATTTTAATATGTTTATTGTTCCTTGTGATAAGCCATTGAGGTAAACCATTTTGTATACTCTAGTTCTGTCCTTTAAACTTGTTAGTGTCATTAGATGTTTGTTTAGAGGGTAACAAGAATACTCTCATCCTCTCAGGTAGAGAAAGAGGCTGAAGCTAAAGGTGTAGCTATTGGTCAAGCGCTAGACATAGCTATTCCTCCTCCACGGCCTAAACGAAAACCAAGCAATCCCTACCCTCGAAAGACGGGAAGTGTAACTACCACGATGTCAAAACCAGGTGTGAATCATGGAAAAGATCCCCTCGGATCAGAAAAAGTGTTGCATCCTGAGGTGATTTTCATGGTCAACGACATCTTCTTTTTTTTTGTAGTGTGTCATATTGTTCCTCATGTATAATTGATACAGACTGTGTGTGCTTTGTTTTTAGATGGCCAGTGAAGATCGACAACAATCAAAAGCTAATGAGAATCTGCAGGAAGACAACTGTTCAGATACTCATCAGTCCCTCTCTGCTGCATCCTCCATGAATAAAAGTTCTATAGAGACATCAAACACAAGCATTTTTCGGGAGTTCTTGCCTTCACGGGAAGAGGTAAAACCAATCTTTCATTTTTTTTAGTTGATCTTTAAGATAGTACTTTTCTTGACACTTTATGTGGGGGAAGAACAGGGGAATCAGAGTAAAGGGATAAGAAAGGACTCGAATTCGGAGAACCACTGTGATTTGAATGCAAAATCTTTGGAAAACGACGTGGTAAATAATGAGCAAGAACCTCAGACTTATCCAAGGTGTATCCCTGTGCTAGTGCCGATGGGGAGCTCAATAACAAGTTCTCTATCACATCCTTCTTCAGAGCCAGATGAGAATAAGGCCCCCATACATAGTCTTCCCCGCACAGTTGCAGGCGACTATGAGTCCTTTCCTAACCATATTATGTCAACCCTTTTACATACACCGGCTCTCTATACAGCTGCTACTTTCGCCTCATCGTTTTGGCCTTCTGATTCTGGTGGTAGCCTACCTGGTCAAGGGAACTCACCTCCGAATCTGGCTGCCATGGCTGCAGCCACTGTTGCAGCTGCTAGTGCTTGGTGGGCTGCCAATGGATTGCTACCTGTATGTGCTCCTTTTAGTTCTGGTGGTTTCACTAGTCACCCTCCAACTACGTTTGGACCATGCGGTGATGCAGAGTACACAAAAACAAGTGCTTTACAACATGTTTCTGCGCAGAGCCGAGAGAGGATAGATCAAGAACACTCTGAGGCATCAAAGGCTAGATCGTCACTGGAAACAGGGGAGATTGAAAATAAGAGTAAACCAGAATGTCATGAGCAGCCTTCTGCAACAGCTGAGACTGAGGGTTCAGATGGGGCAGCAGGCAGAAAACAAGTTGACAGGTCTTCGTGTGGTTCAAACACTTCCTCGAGTAGTGATGATATCGAAGCAAATGCATCAGAGAGGCAAGAAAATGACACCAATGAAGAGGTGAAAGAAATGAATGAAGACACTAATAATCCTCAAACTTCAGAGTCCAATGCACGCCGTAGTAGAATCAGCTCCAATATAACCGATCCATGGAAGTCTGTGTCAGACGAGGTACTTGCACTAAAGATTAACTTCCTTGATTTTCTCATACTAGTCTGCTGAAACCAAATATTGTACATTCAGGGTCGAATTGCTTTTCAAGCTCTCTTCTCCAGAGAGGTGTTACCTCAAAGTTTTACTTACCGAGAAGAACACAGAGAGGAGGAACAACAACAACAAAGATATCCAATGGCACTTGATCTTAACCTCACATCTCCGTTAACTCCAGGTGATGATCAAGAGGAGAAGAGAAACACAGGATTTCTTAGTATCGGATTGGGTACTTCAAAGCTGATAAGTAGAGGAAAAACAGGTTTCAAACCTTATAAAAGATGTTCCATGGAAGCCAGAGAAAGTAGAATCCTCAACCCCAATCCTATTATTCATGTGGAACAGAGAGACCCCAAACGGATTCGGTTGGAAACTCGAGCTTCGACATGAAACTCTCTATTTATCTGTTTTGTATGTATTAAAACTTTTCAAGATCACTGCTACATTTTCTTTGTCGTTTTGAGGCCTTTTGTATTTCTTTCCTTGTCCATAGTCTTCATGTAACATTTGACTGTATTATCAACAAATCATAAACTGTCTAATTTTTTTGTCTAACTTGTTTGAAGATGTGGCACAATACTATTCTTGTTGTTTTAGAGCTCTCCTGATCGCAACCTCACTGAAAGGGCTCTTGTCCTTGAGCACCAGTTTCCTAGAGCATCCTGGTTCTGTCTTTGGTAAGAGTCTTATTAACCCCACTCTCATATTAAAAAAAACTTCTCAATTTCTGGAGAAACTTAACCGGTTTCTCTAGTATTAACCAAACCACAGCGAAACAATATCAATCATTTTGAACAATAAAGTATTCTAGTCCCCATCATAATCGTCAATACATCTTTTCAAACAATTCGCCATCTCACGCCTTATGCAAGGCATCAAGATAATAAGTAGCCAATTATGATGTGATAAGAAACAGAGAGAAACACCAATCCAAGTACTCAGTCTATCAGCTAATAAAGCAATCCATTCATCATTACAATACAATAACAATCTAACCATATACTAACATTTACTCTAAGAACCATATACTAACAGTCTAAAGAACCACTCTCCAGTTTTACGGATTCCATAGAGTAAAAGCGTGGTGTCACATACTCTTAAGAACCACTCTCCAGTTTCACCTTCTATTTCCAGACTACAACCGCCACTTGAATCAATCAGTTTCCTCATCTTCCTACGCTGCTAAGTTTCCAGAAACACAAAACCTCCTGTGAGTTATACAACAACAACATGACATATGAGGCAAAACTACACTTTAGTAAATGAGTAATGACCTGATAATGGTGTGTCAGTTCTTGTTGCAATGCATCACATACACTGCTTTTCCCATCACATCTGGCCTTGAATACTGGTGGAGTTTCCATCTGCTGTCTTCCCTTGGAGAAGGCTTCAGCACACAATGCATGATTCCACCGATCATCCTGCTGCGTCCTTGAACCCATTTGAATTCAGAAGCTACAGGAATCTGATGCGATCCAATGAACAACCACTGGCAGAACTCTTCCCTACTAGAAAACACAAACTTGAACTTACCTGCAATGAGAGTCAAGATATAACCATAAGATGAAATAGAGATGGAGACTCAAAAGTGAGTGACAGAAACTATACTTGACCGCCAAGGTGGGGTGCAAAACAACTCTTGAGAGGGGCGAGGAACTCCGCTCTCCTTTTCAGCCTTGAGCAAGTTGAGAATCTTGGCAGCAACAGGTGAAAATTCAGTAACCGATGCGTAACAGTTTGCCAGAACAAACGGAATTTTGGATTGTGAATCCGAATTAGCCATCTCTAGGCAACCCTCGCTACAGTATTCTAAAGTTCTCTCAGGCTGTCTTTGGCAGTCCCATCGCACACATTGTAGTTCGTAGTTGTCAGTGAGGCTAACCATGGTTTAGCAAACCTGAAACGTTAATAGAGATGAACGTTAAGTTCAATACCAATAGGACCACAATAATGAACATAGGTTGAATATAGCAACTAGCAAAGGAGAAATCAATATCAATGATGTAACATTAATGACTACAGTGGTTCAATAGAAAAATTCCAAAAGAGATCATCAACTAAGAGGAATAGAGCATCTAATGGAACACCTAAACAGCAGATCATTGTTGAAAACTGCGATATCTAACTAGTTGAACTATCAGAAAAACAGATGATGATTCGAAAACCTAAAACGAACAAGGAACTTAAGAATCGCCGATATTCCAGCTAAGAACTGAGCAAATAATGGAACACCTAATTAACCAGAAGCATCATCCACAGAACATCGTTGAAAATTACGATACCTAAGATACCTAAGAACATCAGGGAAACCAAAAAACAGATCCTAATTATCATCATCATTCTCCACAGATGATGATGATTCGAAAAACAAAGATGAACAAGAAGAATCGGAGAAATTACAAACAAGAAGAGATCAAACTAATCATGCAACCTACGAATCGACGAAACGTGTAAAATCGAAGAATCGATAGAAACCCTAACCCTTTCAGAATCGGAGAAATCTACAGCAGAGTCGAGACTCGAGATCAGTTCCTCCTCTTGCGCTCTCACAATCGCACTACTCTGCTTTCTATTTTTCTTTTTCTTTCTGTGGAGAAGAGGAATGTTCCAGAAACCTTTAATATCATCTCCGTCACTTGCTTTGATGGGCCTTCATGTTAAAAGCCCATATTTTAAAAATTAGCCTTTTAGTGTATGATTGTGAGTGTTACTGTTACCAAACGGTAGTCCTAGGCATCGTAACGGGAGAGTCGTCTCCTCCGTTCCCAAGTTTTTATGTTGCGAAGAGAACGAGTAACCTTTAGATCTGACACATTCCGTAATTTTTAATCTTTGTTTCGCGACAAATAAAAAAAAAATACTTGTATCATACGAATACGTAACAAAGAGTAATAGAACTATATAGTAAAATAATTAATTAAAAAATTGATCAAAACAAGAGATTAGCGTTTTGGAGTAAAAATAGGAGAGCTCGAGGTCCAATGGTGCAAAGTGTTAGCTATTCAACGGACCATTAGTCTCCTTTTCCCCAACTTCTATATTAACCTCTCTCTCCACCGTCCATTTTTCCATTATACCTCTTACGATCTCAACACGTGGCATTTCTCTTTCGCGCTCTTTTACTCTTTATGTCCAAAATCCAATTATATCTCTTTTAATAACCCAAAAATAGTTAGGAAACCAAGTGATTTTTCTATAAGTTTCTAAACAAAAACAACTGTGCACACACGCTTGTCGATATCCCAATATTTTTTTTTTCACAATTCCCAAATAAATAAATAAGATTAACCAAAATTTCATAATTCCAAGTCCCACGAATGTAGCTTTTGATGCATTAATACAAGAAACTCTTAAATATTCTTTTAAACATTAATACAAAACATCTTTTTTACTCATTGATTGTTCTAGCCCAAAACCTGAAATGCCTCCTCTGTTTCTTCTGCCTTCTTCTTCTGCCCTGTTTCTACTTCTTCTCCTTCTCTTAACTCTCCAAACCCTAACCTCAATATCTCTCTCTCAGCCGGACGCTCTCCGTTCACCGGAAAAGTGTGGAAATTTCTCTGTCTCCTTCCCTTTTCATCTCTCCCCCTCCTCAACCGCCGCTTTTAGACTCTCCTGCACAAACTCCTCCACTTTATATCTTCACATAAACCACCAAAGTTACCGAATCATTGAGTTCTTCACAGACGGTCTCCTCGTAGACTTCCCTTCATCTCCTTCTTGTCGCCAATTTAACGACTTAAGATCTTTCCCTTTCTCTGCAAACCAATTCTTCTCCATCTCTTTCGAAAACGTGATCGGTCTTTACGACTGTGAAGATTCTTCTCTCTGTAAAGCCGGTTGCGAAACCAACGATCTCTTTGGTTGCGACGGCAGAGAGGAAGACGAAACCTCCGGTGGAGATACCGGATGTTGCTACCCTCTCTCTGATCACAGCGCGTGGCGTGCAGGTGATGACTTCTCTGTTTTTAGTAAATACGGATGCAGAGGATTCTCTTCGTGGGTTGTTCCAAGAGGGACCAACACTGGTAAACGAGGTGTTAAATTAGAGTGGGGGATTCCCAGAAACTCTTCGGAAGCTATTTGCGATCGTGAGGCTCGAACTGTCAACGCTACGGCTATCGAAGGGAGTGTTCGATGTGTGTGCCGTGATGGCTTCGTTGGCGATGGCTTCGTCCATGGAACCGGTTGCTTAAAGTGTGAGTTTTATTCCTTCTCCTTTTTCATGTTTACGTGTATGAAACAGTAGTTTGCAAGTAACCATTTCACTCTTCTAAACGTCAAGTAAAAAAAATTGTTAATCTGTAATAGTTCATTCGGTTCGGTTAGCTCAGTAACTCATTTTGCCCTAGTTTGAACAGCCGAGTGTTTCTTGAGTCACAAGAAACTTACTTGATGTACTGTTATTGCAGCTTGTTACAAAGACGGAAAGGAATTATATGGAGACAAATGTGAGATCAAGAAACACAAGGGGAAGAAACTCACCGTTTTAGCCGGTAATTACATCTCATCTGAATAAATTCAAAATTTTCTTTGAGCCAAACTTGTTGCTAACATCATTAGACATATGTTATATATATGCAGGAGTTTTAGCTCCTCTGTTCATATTGGGCTCACTATTAGCACTCTTCTGCCTCCTTAAACGTCCGGTAACAACTCATACAGATCAACAGTTCGATATCTCTACAGCAACGACTACTACTAGTGTTTCGTTTCGCAAAGGTTACAACAAGACTCGTCTCTTCACATACCGTGAGCTGGAAGAAGCCACCAAAGGGTTTCAAGATTCACATAAACTCACACAAGGCAAAACCGGGACAATATTCTCAGGCAATCTAACAAACGGCACACGAGTGATCGTCCACAAGGTTCTCTGCGAAAACCAGATTGAATTCATGGAGATTTCGTCTCAAATCGATCATCTATCCACGGTTTTGCATAGAAATCTCGCGAGAATCATAGGTTTCTGTATGGATATTGGATATAATCCACTCGTTGTTTACGAGTATCCGGTAAACGGATCGCTTGGAGATCGAATACATCTAGGGCTTGATTGGTGCAAGAGAGTTAACATTGTAGCTGAAGTAGCTGGTTTACTAGCTTTACTTCAATACGAGAACTATCCACCGATCCTACACAACAACATTGCCTCTGGATACATCTTCTTAGACGAAGATTTCCAAGCTAAAGTCACAGGTTTTGGTTTACAGAGGAAACAGAGGATTGATACAAGTATGTACGATTTCGCGGTTCTGCTTCTCGAGATTGTGACAGGTTTAAAGCAGAGAGAAGAGACAGTGACTCAAGCGTTACAGAGGATTAGAAGCGGTAAGCTTGAAGAGATCGTGGATCCTTCAATGTATTTCCATGAGCAGCCTATGGCTTTTAGGGAACAGATTGGTTTAGTTGCTGATATCGCGACTCGGTGCGTTTTGTTTGGTGGTGATGGTAAATTTGGAATGGTTGATGCAGCTAGAGAGCTGTTGCAGATCGCTGGAAACAGCGGTGGAGGCGGTTGCGATAAGAAAGGAGATGGAATTGAGGAAACGTTTTCGAATTCGAGTTTACTTCAGATGATTTCTATGTCTCCTGACTCTATCTATCTCCCTAAGACCTAAAAACAGAGGAAATTAAGGTTCTTTTTTGTTTGTTTGTTTTGCATGTATGTAAATTTGAAACGTTTTACTTGAGGGTAAAGAAACGTTTGTTTTTTTTCAATTACGAGATCGTGTTATGCAAAAAAATAATCGTGACTAGGATTGGTACTCACGATTATAACAACGTGCAGGCAAAGAGTTTAGAAGAAACACCATAAACAAGTACATACTACAAAATGTTTTGTTTTTTTTTCTTCCCTTGTTTTAAAACAAATTAAATAGTATTGATGTTTTTTGGAAAAGGAAATTGAAAGGCTGAGATAGAATATCTCTGGTATCATTAAATTCAATTTTGACCAAATCTTTATGCTATTATTAAACTCTGGTTTATCCTGTATATATATGCGTAGCTCTGTTTTTGCAGAACTTAATTACATTTGTTTTTGTCCCTTTGAAGATCCAAAGGTAATTAATGCTAATCTCTGATTGTTTCCAAATGCTCTGTTTCTTCGTCACGATCTAATTATGCCATTGATGTGATGACAGATGAGTGAAGAAGCATATGAAGAAACTCAGGAATCAAGTCAGTCTCCTCGTCCTGTTCCAAAACTGAACGAGAGGATTCTCTCAACTCTATCCAGGAGATCTGTAGCTGCACATCCATGGCACGACCTTGAGATTGGTCCTGAAGCTCCATTGGTGTTCAATGTGGTATGTCTCTCTCACCTTATAACCCACGTAACCCCTTCTTTCTTTAATCTCTTTCTCTCTTGGTCTGTTAACGAGAGAGCCTCTCTGGTCAGGTGGTCGAGATCACAAAGGGAAGCAAAGTGAAATATGAGCTCGACAAAAAGACCGGTCTAATCAAGGTAATGTGAATCCCTCAGAATGTGATCTCCGTTTCTCTTAATTTTTCTGATTGATGATATCTGAATTCGATCTCAGGTTGACCGGATCTTGTACTCGTCTGTTGTTTATCCACACAACTACGGATTCATCCCCAGGACATTGTGTGAAGACAATGATCCTCTTGATGTTCTTGTCCTTATGCAGGTAAGTGTGTTTTCACAAGCATCACAAAATTGTCAACAAAACACCACATTGTGTTTGAACCTAATTTAGCTTCTCTGATTCGTGTAGGAGCCAGTGCTCCCAGGTTGTTTCCTCCGTGCTAGAGCCATTGGATTAATGCCCATGATTGATCAGGTTTCTCCACATATTTCATAAATGTTTGTTATTTGTCACGATACATTAGTGATCATAAAAAATGTGAAACCTTTTAGGAGTTGAACTAAAACTGCGTAAGAATCATAAAACTTGCAATCCAAGAAATCCAAAATTTGAAAGGTCTCATCATCATCAGAGCATTGATCTAATAAAAAGTAAAACCTGCATTGTATTTTAAAAAACGAGAGTTTAATTTTGATAATGGTAATAATGAATGCGCTGGTTGAATATATCAGGGTGAGAAAGACGACAAGATCATAGCAGTTTGTGCAGATGATCCAGAGTACAAACATTTCACAGACATCAAACAACTCGCTCCTCATCGTCTATCTGAAATCCGCCGTTTCTTCGAGGACTGTAAGATCCTCCTTATTTAATTTTTGAATCACATCTAAGCCAAAGTAATTAGGACCAAATTAAACAACTAAAGAACCTAATTATGTAAAAATAACGGTTGGGTTATATAGATAAGAAGAACGAGAACAAGATGGTGGCTGTGAACGATTTCTTGCCATCAGAGACGGCGCATGAAGCAATCCAGCACTCCATGTAAGATCTCACCAAACCATAGAAAAACCCTAAGAAGTTGAGAGACTTATGTTTGAAAAGATTTGAGTAGCAACGTATCTCATGAATTGATTGTGAAATGAACAGGGATCTGTACGCTGAGTATATCCTCCACACCTTGAGGAGATGAAGAGCAACAACTACATTTGTGTTTCTTTTACGCGGAAGAGATGATTATTGGCAGCATATCCGCATATATAAATCTATAAATATTTTTATTATCTTACATATTTCATAAATCATATGATCGGCTTTTGCAGTTTTGTTTTGTTCCTTTTTTTTTTGGGTTTTGGTTGAATATATATTTTCCCTTGTGGGTGATGTTATGCAATTTTGTTCAATTGTACATTTGAAAGTGATATATATATAAATGGATATTAATGAATGACAAAGGCAGTTTTGCCTTCTTTAATTAAATCTCATCGACTATTATGCATGTGGTTAGCGCGTCCACTAAATGGCCTGAAGAAGCCTATATAGGCCCAAATAGAAGTAGGTCATGATACCAAAAGTCTATGCAAAACTATCTCCAAATTCATATTAAAAACGATAAGAACTTAAATAAAATAACAAGCTACGAACGAAACAAAACCAAATACAGTATAATAGTATATGAACCTAAGAAAAGATCTATGTAAGACTTATATTAGAGAGAGTGAATAGATAGGTAGATAGAAATGTATAAATAGTAAGCAAAAAAATGGGAAAGTGTGGATCCAAATACAGCAGAGAAAGCGACTAAACATTAGCAGCATATATATATATTTAGACAGAGAATGGGCCTTTGGATTTATCATCTGTCTGTATATATCTTATTTATTTTGGGTTGGGCCTCCCTTTTTCTTTGGGACCACACCTACTACGACTACTACTACTGTGCTCCTATTTATTTCCCTGAAACAATTTGTGCTCCAACTAAACGACGTTTTTTTTTTAATTTTTACAACATGGTCTGTGTGTGTGTATATATTGTATGTATGTATAATCTAGTTATAAGTAGAAAAAAAGAAAAGAAAAAAAAAAAGAAAAGGATGCAAAAAAGCTAAAGAAGAGTTATAAATGAGTGTGAACAGTAAAATGAATGTGAAATATATATATATGTATAAAAGAGCTGCAGGCGCAGGGGAAGCTGACTTTTGCTTTGCTGCTACCGCAGAGAGCAGAGATCCCCTTTTTATAGATAAGAGTCAATTTTAATATATATATATATATATATATATATATATAAAGTTACAATTTATATATTTGGATACTTGAACAGATTATATTATATATAAAATGAAATCCCAAAATCTGCGAACGAAACCTCCAAATTGAAAGAGAGACAACCTGAGGGATCGGAGGGTTTGATTCCTTGGTTTGTCCTTGCATACAAATTACAAACGTATATATTAACCCTACCTCATATTTGCATTTGCATTTAATACTTTCATCTCTATTCGATATTTGTTTCAATTTGTTATCATCACATATATATTGCTTTCTCTGTTCTTTAGTTCTAATATATAAGCAGCATCTAATAAGTGACCACACTATAAACACTAGTACCGGAAGCAAAATGTTTGAAAATGGTTTTATTATTCAGTTTCTTGTGGCAAATTAAATATATATCTAGTTTATGTATCCAAATCCCATATTATGAAAGAAAAAAAGAAAAAGAATGAAATTCTATGCTTATACGAATTAATCTAAATTTCAAGAATTGAATCAAAGCAATATATAATTCTCTACTACATTTTTTTGTTTTTTTTTTTTTTGTCATCTGAGAAATTAAATTACAAGTTTATCGGGAACAAACTCTCCTCTAGGGAGAGACATGACGGTACCGATGTGCTTGTATAGGAAAAATGAACTCCACGACTTCTTGCTTTCTTCGCAAGGTAGTCTGAGCGCCCGTTTTCCTTCCAAGGAATACGGCGGATACTAAAGTTCGAAAATGAAATCTTTAGATCACAAAAAGAAGCATACTCGGCTGCAAACGTGGGCCAATCCGACGGCGCCTCCAGCACAGCAAGGATATCCGAACAATCTATGGCAAAGCAAGCATTGTTCTGACGAAGCTTTAGCATACACTCCATAGCCCAAAGAAGAGAGTCCCATTCGGCATGAAGGGGTGAAAGGGACCTCCTAACACTCTTGAGACCAATCCAAGAGTGGCCTCGCGAGGAATTTTCTCTATCATCCAGTAGGATCCACCCAAGACCACTAAAGGGATCAGAATCAAGCCAGGAGGCATCACATTGACATTCCAAAAGTGGAGAGGATAGGGGCCTATGGACGACCGAAAGAGGTGGCTGAGGGTCTGGCATAACATTTGTTTCCATCGCTCGCCGCCACACTTCTGCTTCATGAGTAGCTAGCAAAAGGGTCTCCTCAGGTGACTCCCTAATATTCTCAAACATAAATCTATTACGAGCTTTCCAGATATACCACAAAATCCAAGGGAAGTTATGGATATTGGTTACATCTATCTTCAATTCTTTACCTCTCCAAAAGAGAAAGTCAAAATTGTAAAATAGAGATTGACGAGGGAACACCGTCCCTGAAGAAGGTATAGAGGATAGAGCCCAGACTTTTCTAGCCGGAGGGCACTCAAAGAGGAGATGATTAATCGTTTCCTCTTCATGGCCACAACGGAGACAATCTTTCTCTCTACCAATATGTCGAGAAAAAAGTCTTTGACAGGTTGCTACGCAACCCGAGAGACATTGCCACATGAAATGCTTCAGCTTTCTTGTGGTTTTAGTTTGCCATACTTGTGCCTGGAGTGCCGAAACATCCGGTCCCTGAAAAGGGAGGTCACAAGGAGGACGAGATAAAATTCTCGCGGCCCAATACCCTGACTTCACAGTATAATTTCCAGATTTTGTATGAACCCAACTATACCCATCACTAAGGTAAGTCCGACTAGGTCGAATACCTAGAATAAGAGGGATATCCGTTGGGTCCACTAAAGCATTCAAACGGTCAAGTTTCCATTCCTGAGTATCCCTATCCAGTAAATCATTGACGTACAAATGCGGATCCTGAAAGGCGAGAACACTTTTAGCAGGTCGAGGTGGGATAGTGGGAAGCCACGGGTCACTCCATACCCGAGTAAGCATTCCGGAACCAACAGTTCTGCGGAGACCTGAAACAATCAGAGGCTTGACAGAAAATATACTCCTCCATCCATAGGAGGGACGGTTGGCCTTAACTATTTGTAAAGGGTCGCTAAATCTATAATATCTACCCCTCAAAACTCTGCTCAACAGTGAATTTGGGAAGCGAAGGAGTCTCCAAAATTGTTTAGCAAGGAGCGCCTGATTAAACTCACCCAATGTGCGAAACCCAAGCCCTCCTTCAGAAAGTTGGGTACATAATTTATCCCAGGCTATCCAGTGAATACCATTACTCTCCGTCCTGGTTTTCCACCAGAAGTTAGCAATGGCACTACTTAACTTAGTAAGGATAGCCTTGGGGAGTAGAAAACAGGACATAACATATGTCGGAAGAGCTTGAGCAACCGCCTTAGTAAGTACCTCTTTCCCTCCTTTGGAAAGGAATTTGACAGACCAAGTACTAATTCTTTTCTGAAGTCGATCGCGAACGAAGGAAAAAACTTGAGTTTTTGAACCGTGAATCTTTTCGGGTAACCCTAAATAAGTACCCATACCACCTTCGGTTTGAATACTTAAGATATTCTTAATGGTGGTACGGGTTGCTGGTGCCACCTCGTGCCCAAACATCACCGAAGACTTTGCTTCATTAAGTTGTTGTCCTGAAGCCTCGCCATAACGACGAATAACATTTAGAACCTCTTCACCTTGATCAGGAGTCGCTCTACAAAAGAAGAGACTATCGTCAGCGAAGAGAAGATGGGATGTCG